TCTTTTCAATGACCAACCAACAGAAGCCATTATTGATACCGGCTCCGCCATCTCAATCATTCATTCGAAATTTCTTAAAACAATTCCCCATCATGCATTTATGTCCAAAATTTATCAATGTCGCACAGCAAATTCAACACCTATCAATATCATTGGTGAAATTAAATTGGAAGTTAAAGTTAAATCAATTAAAACTTATACAACTGCATATGCGGCCTCAAATTTAATTACATCAATTCTATTAGGAAACGATTGGATTAATTCAATCCATGTACATCTTTTTGGTGATCAGAATCAATTGACAATTCCTGATCAATATGGTCAATTAATCTCAATTCCATATTTAGAACCTACTAGTATTAATTATCCAGCATTATTAATCAATCAAATTACTCTTCCACCTCATTCACAAACATTGGTTAACATCATATGTCAAATCGATAACGCTTATGATTTAATATTCGAACCTTATAAATGTTACATTTCAAAATTTATTTTTATACCACATGCAATACTAAATGTCAAGAACAATCAAACGAAAGTTTTATTAATAAATGCAAATGATGACCAACAAACATTATCAAAGAATACACGAATCGGAACTATTGCCCGTCATTCAACATACACAATTTATACCACAACACAAAATTCTTTTCCAACTCATGACAAACATATTCGACAATCATATTTTAAATCTAAACCAAGAGCTGTTCTCAATAAAAAAAGACAACTCGAATACGAACGTATTAGATGTTATTTGTCATGAATGTAATGAATGTTTTTTATCTGGTAATGATTTACAAAAACATTTAAGAGAACAATGTTATTCAGAACAACTTCGACAACAAATATCAAGTCTAACCAAACATATAGAAAATGGAAACAATCGTTCAAAAATTCAAGATATATTATGGCGAAATAAAATATTTTTTGATCCGACACCATCAATTATTAATATTCCACCACAATCAGCAATTAAAACTGGTGATCATCCACCTATATATTCAAAACAATATTCGTGTTCTGCAAAAGATCAAGATATTAAATTCCAAGAAATGCAAAAATTATTAGAACGTGGTCAAATTGAAGAATCAACTTCTCCATGGTCATCACCAATAGTACTCGTTAAGAACAAAGATAAAACAATGAGATTCTGTATTGATTATCGACGATTAAATGATATTACAATCAAAGATGCATTTCCATTACCTCGCATCGATGAAATATTTGATCAATTATCTGATGCAATGTATTACACAAAATTTGATTTTAAATCTGGTTATTTCCAGATACCTCTATGTAAAGAGGATCGTCCCAAAACAGCATTCTCAACTCGTGATAACCATTATCAATTTACAGTTCTTTCACAAGGTATAACGAATGGACCCGCAACATTTCAACGAGTTATTAACCACATATTAGGACCAGCAAGATGGAAATATGCACTAGCTTATATTGATTATGTAATTATCTATTCGAAAACATTTGAAGAACATTTAAAACATCTCAGTGAAATTTGTACAATATTAAAAAATACACGATTTCGACTCAACCCTGATAAATGCGAAATTGCCCAAACTCAAACAGAATATCTTGGACATCAAATTAAAAATGGTGAAATCCGTCCAAGTCCACAGAATATTCATGGTCTATTGAATACAAAATTACCACAAACAGCTGATGAAGCTTGCAAATTTGTTAAAGCAACTGAATATTATAGAAAATTTATACCAAATTTTTCTCAAATTGCTGAACCATTACGAAAATTTGTTCCAACAACAAAAACTCAACAAAAACGAGGACAAAAAACAATAATTAAATTAACCGACGATGAAGTTAAAGCATTCGAAAACCTTAAACATTATCTTACAACAGATTTGGTTTTAAAATTACCAAATAATAGATTCCCATTCAAAGTTCAAACTGATGCATCTGACGAGGGAATCGGAGCAGTATTATTACAAATTTATCCAGATGGTGATAGGCCAGTTGCATATTTATCAAAGAAATTTACTCAAGCATAACGCAAATGGTCTCCTATGGAACAAGAATGCTATGCATTTATTTGTGCATTAGATAAATGGCATAATTATTTAAGTGGAATAAAATTTACATGGGAAACTGATCATAAGGCATTAACACAATTGAATAAAAAAGCTCAAATTAACAAAAGATGTGAAAGATGGAGATTGAAAATCTTAGAATATGATTTCAAGGTTAAATACATTCCAGGATTAACCAATTCTATGCCTGATTATTTATCAAGATCTCCAGTTGATGACGCTGAAGAAGATCCTGATGAAATTTCAAATCTTGTTTCAACATCAACACAAACCGATTCTTCATATATTAATAAAAATGAATCTATTATTACAGCTGTTGAAACTCGTACAATGAAATTAAGAAATATAAATGGGGTTGACCAGTCTGGCCGGATACCCCATTAATATTTTCTTTATTTNACGTCTTCTGGTTTCATTTTGGCTTAAGAGGGTGATTTTAAAAAAAGGGCCACGAGGTCGGCTAGCCCTAGAGACAAGCTTTCAAACAAAAAAAAATTGTATATATAATGAAGGGCCATGGAGAATTTTTAGAGATAAGATGACCTATTTTTGACCCTTGTTTTGTTCATATCTCCGTCAAATGTCAGGGTATCGAGCTGAAAATTTTACCACAGCCTCCTCACTACAGCCCCAACATATGCTCCAAATTTCAGCCCATATGTATGTACCTGGACTTAGATCGAGTTTTGAGGGGGGAGGGGGCCTTAACCACTCAATAGTAAGTAGAAGAATAGCGTTTGATCGAGATTGTCTTAAAAGGTAAAGCTAACTTTTACACATCATTAGAATTACCATATGGAAATGAGAAAGTTTTGAAGTGTTTTTTTCCTATTTTTGCTCCTTTATGAAAAGTAGTTTTTTTCAAGATAAACGAGGGACGAGGAACCTAGAATATAGTGAGGAGAATCTCAGTTTTCAGAATCAAAATTTAGTTCATATGCAACATAAGTATCATGTTCGAAATCAGCATCAAAAGTGGAGTCAGATGATGCACTGCAAAGTATAGAGCCGCTTTCATGTTTCAGCAAAAATCTTAATCTGAGAATTCTGAAAACTGAAAGTGTTCAGATTAATAGATTTATACGCTATTATAGAGTAATATTTTCTATGTTGACACTGTACATGATACTTATATTGCGTATGAACTAAATTTCTATTCTGAAAACTGAGATTCTTTTCACTATATTCAAGCTTCCTCGTCCCTCGTTTATCATGAAAAAACTCGTTTCCATATGGTAATTCTAATGATGTGTAAAAGTTAGCTTTACCTTTTAAGACAACCTCGATCAAACGCTATTCTTCTACTTACTATTGAGTAGTTAATTCAAATTGAGTAATTTGAAAAAAATAAAACGAAAAACAAGAGCGAAGTTGAAAATTTTTCTGAGAAAATAGCATATTCTTACTCAGCTCAACATGATCTATTCAATCATGTATGGATTAGCCGAAAGTAAAGAATTGTCCCATTTTCGAACAGCCGACATTTTACAATAGTTTTATGAACTGTTTAATCTTGTAATATCATTTCCTTTAAAAATTGATGATTACTGTTAATAAATTTGTACAGCAAAATAAAATAATCTTTGCTTTGCACCTAAAAGCTCTTATGATTACTTTTGATTCATTGTCAATAATTGAATTGCCTAAACGAAAGTTGTTTTCAGATTATACAGTGATCTATTGCAATGATAGATGATCGTGTACATGGACAAATTTATATGATCGATGTGAAGAATGAAAATGTTGAAAATGGCTGTGTTGCTTCTTCTGCTAATCCCACACAGAGACGATGGTCAAATTTTTTCAAGTAAACGAATATTCTTTTATAAAATTTAGAATAAATCGTGAATGTCATGTTCGGAATAGGTGTTATAATAAAAAGAAACTTGTTATTCAAGAGAGACACAATGAACAACAGCCAAAACGAAAAATACGTGAGGCTGTAAGTATAATTTGTCTTATGCTGTGTTGTTCACTAATGTTTGACTCAATTTTTAGTATCGGTTTGCGGATAAATTGGATTACTTGTTGATTTTCATTGGAATAGTTACAGGTAAGTTGTTTTTTCGCTGTAAACTTATTGACTAAACGTCCTGGTCTTTCTATGTGGATCTTACATTCTTTTGTTTTTTCAATATGACAACCTCATCATTGATAGTTTTAATACGCTGGCTTAGTAATACGTAATGATAATTTTTACCTCGCTTAGGTTGTGAATGATACGGAAGTCCGAAAAAGTTAAAGATTTTTAATTTTTAACAGTCGATAAAGGACACCGAACAAAATAGTTTTGTGCTGGAAAATATGAATCGATCAATGTTTAATATTAACCAATTGTTTTGTATCGATTGATAGAGCTTGTATTTCACTATTCCATAGTCACACTTTGATTGAGAATTAACAATGAAAAAACCATCATTATATCGCTTTCAAAGCAATCATCAAAAACTAGATCAACAGTGAATAGGCATGTTTGTCACCAACTACATCCTATAGAAACCGCTCTTACCCATGAATTCTTGAAATTTGGTCATTGAAGAAAGCCAACAAATTTAAGCAATAGAAAAATTCTAGTCGCCACCTATAAAAAGATCGGTTAAGGTGTCTAACATTGGACAGTGACCTATTCGTGATTTCTAGCAATGATCGGCGCTCGTCAATGTCCTCTATCGAACATGAAACGAAAAGATTGTTAACTGTTTTCATTCCAGAGTTTTTCGAGGCGTAAAATTTTCAAAATTTAACCCCGACAATGGGAATAAAAAAAGAACTGAAGAGTTGATGATTAATGAGACTATTCATTAAATCTATCTATATAATGTTCAGTGTCTGCTTGTCTGTGCCGAGTCAAAAATGAAAGGTTAACAGTTTAAAGCCAAAAACGTAAATCAATGGTCGTGAGGCTAGAAGAGTATTAGGCTACAAGGTGGAAACGGTAAAGGGGATAAGGCTATAAGGAGAGAAATTGTAAGAAGGTATGGCTATAAGGGAGTAAGGTTGCAAGAGCTACAAGCGATATAAGATTATAAGGCCAGAAGGCTACATGGGCTATAAACCTATTAGCAATATAAGAATATGACGTCGTAGGGTTATCTATATACACAATGTCGAGTGTCTGTATGGCTCTATCCAGGCGAATGGTTGAAGGTTTGAGGCCGTACGTGAAAGGAAAAAAACAGCCGTGTGATATGTATGCACGGGTTCCTCTTAGTAAAATGTAATGTTTCATAATTCGTAAAGTTAAGTGCTTAGTTATTGTTTTATTCTCTGATATTTTCCCTTCTTCTGACTACCATAAATAGCATTATTTCTTACTTTTTATGACCGATAAGGTCCATAGTAATGCAAAGTCGACTTAATGAGTTTCGAATTGAGAGGAACGGAATTGAAGAAACATTTATGTCTATTTTTATGAATCCATCGACTATTGAATACACCTTTACAGAGAAAGAAAGACCTTTTCTGTAGATATTCAAAAGTCAAGGAAGTTCAACTGCCTCGATTCAGGCTATAATCGAATACAGCTATAAATCAAGAGAAAGTTATTATGGTTAGTGAAGATTCATGCAATAAAAAAAACTTTAAAACAATTGCAGTTTTTCTAATGTTTTTTGTCATGCAAAAACTAAAATACGATGTTTACACTTGTGTAAGAACACTCATCGGAAAAATAATTCTAAATTAACTGTTATCTTCTCATCATTTTTCTACTTGAATGAATGGTACAATTCAGTTTCGCAGTCATATTCTTTTGAGATCTCAATTATGCTTCATGAATTACTTCTTAGTAAATAGAAATGTCCGTGTGTTGTTTAGCATTAGCAACCGGCACAACTCTACCGTTGATGATGTATATCTATCAATATGTGGTTAACTCATTTGTTAACATTGGAAAATCATCAATGTCGAATTCGACACAGAATCAAATAATTCCGGAATGGTATACATTCATCTGAACAACATGACGTGTTTGAAATAAGAATATTTACTACTATTTTAGTTTTAATATATCTTTAACAACATCCCATGATCCGTTTGATACAATAAATTCAATCATAAAATGGTACGCTATTCTCGGTTGCTGCAGCATGTTATTATTCTGGGTGGCATATGCAAGCTGGTTAACAGTAGCAGCAAGACAAGTTCGACGTATAAGGTATGAAATCACATTGAATCTAGACTGATAGGAATCAGCTTGCACTCACAAATGAATTATTGATCCACCTAATGTTTTCATTTATTTGATTATTCACAAAAAAACAATATATTGCGCACGCTTTTTCGGTAGATATTTTTCTAACTAACAACGTTTAAATACGTGGATAGGCTTGTCATTTTCCCTCAAAGAAACCATGCCGCAAATAACTAAAAGATACATAAAGCACTTTTAAACGACGTGCTCAGAAATATTTTTATTCGACAACTGAATAAATCTATGAAGATAAAAACGTCTGGCGCATTGCCCGATTTTGATAACAACTACTAGAATTTAAAACAGCATGACAATTCTATTTGTCTATCGAATTTTATAGGAGACTTTTCTCCATGAGAGACAGTGCTCTTTATTTTTTTGCGTTGTGAAAGCGAATCAAGCTTATCTTTCGAAGTCTCTTGCTACAAAGTCACCCATTTATTATTAGAGTACTGCGGGATCATCCTATACTCACTCTACCTAATTAGTCGGATGGACTAAAGCTAGAGGATGTGGGTGTGAACTAAGAGAACAACGAAACACACACCCACACCCTATTAACTATAGTATAATGAATTTCAATATAAAATATGTACGGTGTAGTCGTTACGAAGTTTTTTTCTATACATGCTTTTAGATTTGCTATGTTCCGAAGTATTATGTATCAAGAGTTAAGCTGGTTGGAAACATTGAAACCAGGTGCAATACTGAATTATTTTATCGAGTACGTAAAACAATTACTCTTATTTTTTGCGTGTCAATTGGTGCCATATATATATCTTCTTTTAAGGGATTTGAATAATATTCGTGAAGGTATTGGATTAAATATTGTTGATTTATTATGCACAACGGCTAGCTCTATTGGCAGTCTCACATTCTCATTTTATGTTGGTATGAGAACAATGACTGACAAGAAAATTTGTTTTCTTTAAATATTAATTTTCTAGGTTGGAAACTAACACTGATTTTTTTAAGCATGACACCTATTATTGTGATGGCTTTTATGATTACAAGACGGGTAATTCGAATAGATAATATTGTTCGATTCAGCTCGATTAAAACCATTGGCTTATTTCAGGTAGGAGCTACATATACAAGCAAAGAGAAAGACTCATCTGTCAATTCCAATGCTATTGTGAAAGAAAGTTTAACAGCAATAAAAACTGTTACAGCTTATGGTGGACAACGCAAAGAACTGACTAAGTAAGCTGATCAACTCTGAAAACTTTATTGAAAATAAAACCATGTTTTATGAGTGTAAGAAATAAAATTAAGTTTGAATTTGACTTTTCAATATTGTTTATTCTTTTGAGTTTGCCTGTACAGGAAAATAATAGTTACTTAACTTTAGATATGAACAATATTTGGTGCAAGGCAAACAAGCTGGAATCAAGAAAGGTCTTTATACTGGCTTCTGTCAAGCATTTATTAATATAGTATTATATGCATCATTTGCACTTATTTTTTGGTAAGTTAGTTCAAGATTTTTTTCCTTCTATATTGATACTCAGAACGATTGAACTATCACTCATTGTGATCAATCCATTCGTTCAATTGTCGGTTCAGATGATTTAGGTTTGATCAAAATCAACTGCAATTGACACTTATCTAACAGTATTATTTTTTGTATGTGTATACGGATTGGGGGTATATCATCGAAGCAAATTTACAGTTGGAATTAGTAAGGAAAAGTCTTAATAGACAACGTCAATCACTATAAAATTCTTGCTCAACTGAAGTCTTAAACCGGCTAGTACAAACAAATCCTATATTGTAGATATATCATTGAATATGAATTCTATATCACTCGACTATTGACGAGATTTCAAGATTTATGAAGAAAATTTGCGTGAAAACAGAGCGCAATACATGCTCTTGCTCAGTATGAGAATGATTTCGGTCATCATTGAAGTGAATAGAAAAGAAAACACATACAAATCGAAAATGCCAATTTATTTAAAAATACACACGTCTTAGTTCTAACTCTATATACTGATATCTACGCAACCGGCAGGAGATATTAGCATACCACTAAGACCATTGCTAGAATGTTAGTCTGGCGTCACTTCTAGACCAGTTTTGAGGAAGAGAAAAAAATGTGAATTAAGTCTTCCCACAAACTGATACACAAATATGTGTAGGAACAAAGCAATATGCAGAATTTTTAATCATCTGATTTTTTGCATCGTTTCTTTTTTAAAGTATTGCTCGCAAAATGCTCTTTACAGAATTGTGAAAATAAGCTTTTGCAAGAGCACAGGATATTGATCTGAGTTATGTAATGTTGGTTTCACACATCTCGAAGCTGAACATATTATAATTAACCAGAACAGCTGCTGCTTGAAAATGACAGCAACGTTTCGGCAGGTTTTTTAAATACAAATCTTTCATTTGTGTGTAGGTGTGGACTCGATTTGGTTCGAACGGAATGTAGAAACTACAACGCTGGAACTGTAATCGTAGTACGTATTCCAAAATTATTCTCCTTAAGTTTTGAAGATAAAATTTCAAATAATAGGTCTTTGTCACTTGTTTAATGTCAACATTTGGCTTAACAAAATTACAACCAATCATTCAATCTATTATCGACACTTCTATTTCGCTGGATACCATTTTCGCTATCATTGAACGAGTAGGATAAATATATTCTCTCTATCTAAAAAAAATGAAAACTACTAGTAGAAAAATATGTCCGTTTTAGAAGTCAGAAATTAATGCGTCAGAAAATGAAGGCAAGATAGCAGTGCCACCGGACACGTCAAGAGATATAATATTTGATAATGTTGAGTTTCGGTATAGCTCACGGAAAGTTCCGGTAAGATTTTAATTCAACAACAATAAATTCTTTTAGAAACTATCATCCAAATAGGTACTAAAGAACTTTAACCTTGTTATTCCATCAGGAAAAATAACTGCTATTATTGGTGGCTCCGGATGTGGAAGTAAGCTAACTATTTTTTGTTGATCGTATCTAATAATGAAGTGTTTTTGCATTTTATTTGAGAAAGTACAATATTCAAACTAATCCAACGTCTATATGATCCAACTAAAGGCAGGGTAAGGTGCACAAATGGAATATGATTTGTCCTTCAATAGGTCGCATTTTCCTTAGTTTATGTTTTCCCATTTAAGAACTGTGGATTGAATATTTGAGAGCGGTTGTTTTCTCTGGAGTCGTAAATCCATTTTTCCGGTACTGACGTCTTGCCATTAAAAATAAATTTTAATTCCCTCTGTTCAATGCACTTTTTAGTCGACAGTAGTAAATTTATCAGATTCAATGCGGTATCAAATGACTTTTTGCTATACATTTCCTAGGCTAAAAGGCTGGGATCTATGAACGGTAATAAAATCACATATGTGTATCTCTCTGAAACGTGTTTTAAAATCTATCGTCTGTATGTTTTGGTACAAATGACATAAATTCACTAAAAATGCATAGTTACTCGTGCAGCTTAAGACTAATGAAGGCAAACCCAAACGTCTACCAGCGATCGAGTTGGTTTTTTGTTCCTAAGTAGCCATTGTTAAGACTAAATTAAGTCCGAAAATGATATAAGATCCGATGGCCTCTCTTGGTCAATATTTTGTTTTAACCGTTTTACTGGATTTTCTATCTCTGATAAAGCATGTATGCCAAAAAAATGAATTCTGGAACTTTTGTCTGAAGTTTTTCCGGAGAGGTAGACCCATGGACCATAAGAATGGCCTAAAAAATTCAGCCTAAAAGAACGTGTCTTTCTAGAGATGCTGAATGTACGAAAAAGACATTGTACCACGAGAAACAATGAATAAATCGAGCTTCTTCAACATTCAAAAACTCAAGAGTGAAACATTCTTCGACAATAAAAGATTATGAACATTCTACTGACTATGAGAACTACGTCCGAACCAAACTTCAGATCATAATTCCGTAATTCGATTTTATGGAACAAAATTGAAAAATGAGTGTTGAATATTAGAGTAAGAAGAGTGAACTGCCCACCTTTTCACTCTGTTCTACAAACCATGGCAGACATATTGACATTTTATTTTGGATTTTTGGACATCAGACTGCTAGAATTTGAAGGGATTTGGATGTGTTTAATCGATTTAAAATTTCGAGACTGAAAAATCTATTTTTCTGTCTCATTCTGTGATGTATTAGTTCTGATTATAGACGGTCACAAACACTCGAAGATGATACAGGTTGAAATGACAGAGAATTGTGATAAAGTAACAAGAATCTTCATATCCATGTGATGTGGTTCTATTGTGTTTCACATTTTAATTCCATGGGGATTGCGCTAAAAGGTTTTCTTTCATGCATTAAAGAAGTCTAACTTAAGGGCAAAACATTAATTCGACCATTGCTGGACACTTAGGAATCTGACATCATAAGTAAATCGGCACTTGATGAATTGTACTTGTTGTGATGAGTATACCATGAAAACATGATAAAATTTAAGATGGAGTGGAGATGAAACTATTTGATATAGAAAATCAAATTCTTTTGTTTTGAGACTGCCATCTCTTATATAATCTTTTTCAGAGTTACACCAATTCTTTTAGAGACTCTAATGTTGACCGATCAGCCTCGTATCACTCTAGCATTATCCTAGAAACATAGGAATAAAAATTTTGTTTCAGTTTTACTAGATATTTTGAAGTATCTGTTTTATAGATGACGCAGTAACATAATTTCACATATCAAGAATCTTAAGTTAGAAACTGCATAGAGTTTTGAAACTGAGTAATATTATCATTGAACTCGGAATAGTCAAAAACCTCTCTACTTTCATTCATTGTAGAATTATCCGAAGTACATTAGTCATTATCTGGATTCCCAACACAACACGTATAATTTTTTAGAAAATAAAAAATGTTAACCTGGCAAAAATAGAAAGCGTTTGACTTTTCTGTGTAACGATTCATGCAAAAGTAACGTGCTTAATCGCCAAATTCTATATACTTAAGCATCGTTCAGATTGCTCATTTTAATGCCATAAACTGTAAGTCTTTAACTTGATCACGTCAAATTTTATTCAAAAAAGGAATGTCTTATACCAACAAATACATAACTGTGATTTTAAAAGAAACACGGGATAGGCTACATTGAATTTCTTCGTTTTGATGATAAAGACATAGATCTTGACGTATCTTATCTATTCGCAGGTTTCGTTTGGTAACAATGATATCAAGACATTAAATTTGGAAATGTATCGCTCAACTATTGCCCTAGTTGACCAAGAACCACAGCTGTTTTTGGATACGATACAGGAAAATATACAATTTGGAAATATTCATGTTACAAAGGAAGATATTGAAAACGCTTGCCGAACAGCAGTAGCTTATGATTTTATCCAAAAATTCCCACAGGTAACCGAAAAAAACCCTTTATAAAATTCTTATCTGATATCGATCATCTACTTTATGTATAGAAGTTTCAAGCGACGGAAGCCTTAAGTGGTGGGCAGAAGCAACGTGTGGCTGTTGCGCGAGCCCTCGTCACCAAAGCAAAAATATTATTGTTAGACGAAGCCACGTCAGCTCTAGGTAAACAATATCATTTGATATCTATGGATTTTATGGAGATTTTTATCTAAGGTCAAAGGAATCGATGGTTGAGTCCGATCGGATCACTAATATGATCACGTCGAAGAACATTCTGATGTGATTCGGCATGCTTTCCATTAGGTCCGACTACAGTATTAATGTGATAAAATGACACCTAATAGGCTAAATTCTATTTCACTTTTGCCTAGCACTCCTCTCCGAAAAGCTTTTGTTCATATAACCTACGAAATCTAACAGGAATGCCTGCAAATACGCTCCCAAGAACAGGTTCAGTCTCAAAAATTCCATCATTGTTGATCTTACAGTCATCTACATCGTCATTTTTTGCCACTTCTAAAAGAATTCGATCCCAAAAAATTGCCAGACTATCTTTCAACCATTGAGTGAAACTCATTTTCACAGCCTTCATAGCCTATTATCGTTTCTACACTGCAAAAAAAAAACAAGAAAACTGCACGTAAAACAAAAGCATATACATTGATGAGAAAAATCGGTAATTGCTGTTAAAAAATTTAGTTAAATAAAAACAACGGTTACATAAAAAACAAAGAGCCTTATCTGATATTGTCACGAAGTTCGGAAAAAAATCTTTACGAAGATTCAGTAGTTTCAAAACAAAAGTATATATATTGAACAATAAAAAAACATGAAATGGGTAGAAGGATGAAACAATTCATATTTGTTCAGTGATCCACAAAGAGAGTCCTTTGAGATGTTCGACACGACCGAGCTCGTCGTCCTCGAAGTGTTGAGTCGATGATGAAAAAACGCTTTTTCCCTTTACAGGCAAGTAATAAAGGTCCAAATGTTAGGATGAGACTTGTTCAAACGTTTGTTAAAACGATTGTTACATCCTACTGAGTGAAGAATATTTTCCATTCGGATATTTGATAGCTTGAACAGGAGTTGCTTATCCTTCAAAGCGATGCTGGTGCACACGTCGAACTCATAGTGAATAAAAAAAAAGAAACATTAATCAGGAAAACAGTCCTACAAGTCATCGAAAAACAGCTTCCATTCTACTCCACTTCGTAGGAGATTTTACTTATGTCTAGTCGATTCATGATAAGTTCTCTAAAGGTTTCCCAATCGAGTATCCAAGAATTTTGACGAACCAACCGGTATCTCATGTACAGTCACGGACAAAAGTCTCACAGCTAGCCAAAATCCATCGATATAAGGGTTGAATATCTCGAAACTTCTACCGTAAGAAGAACTTAATGAGCTATGATTGCAGACAAATGATTGAGCTCTAACTCCTTACCCAAACTGAGATCTAAGGCTAACATCAACGATATTTTTCTATTATATTATTTCGAGCTAGGAAGAAGAAATGATATTGTTCGACTCATTGTTTGAAAGCTCGGCTCTTTCTCTTTCTACAGTAAAAGTTTCATCATAAACGAACATGTCTTTGTTAAGTTATGAATTATTCTGTGTGTATCCATGAAATTGACATATCATAACCTCACTAGTTTTTTATTCGAATCTTCGGCTAGGCTCACTATTTTTAACTTGAAAATCATATCACAAACTGCTTACCTATGGTCTAGTCTGTAAGTAAATTTTCAAAACTATAGTTACTTGAGAAGTGAAGATTGATGTCATTCTATATCTCAAGACCGAAAGCCCTAGAAAATCATTATGATACTGGAATACAAGCTGTCATGTATAGCATGAATAGATCATCACCAGAACTACTTATTTCACTAAAAATATCATCCCGGCTTCATCAAATAGAAGAAAACCAGCATAATCTTTGCACATCACTATTTTTCCCTTAAAATTAAAGCAAATTAACAGGAAAAAAATGGAAAACAAGAAGTTTCGAAAATTTACCTTATCAATTCGGTTCAATTTTGAGCGGAAAATACTGATATACAAAAGTTACGCTGGTTTTCTTCTATTTGATGAAACCCGGATGATATTTTTAGTGCAATGAGTAGTTCTGGTAATCATCTATTCATGCTATACATGACAGCTTGTAGTCCAGTATCATAGTGATTTTCTAGGGCTTTCGGTCTTGAGATATAGAATGACATCAATCTTCACTTCTCAAGTAACTATAGTTTTGAAAATTTACCTATAGACTAGACCATAGGTAAGCAGTTTGTGATATGATTTTCAAGTTAAAAATAGTGAGCCTAGCCTAAAATTCGAATAAAAAACTAGTGAGGTTATGATATGTCAGTTTCATGGATACACACAGAATAATTCATAACTTAACAAAGACAAGTTCGTTTATGATGAAACTTTTACTGTAGAGAGAGAAAGAGCCGAGCTTTCAAACAATGAGTCGAACAATATCATTTCTTCTTCCTAGCTCGAAATAATATAATAGAAAAATATCGTTGATGATAGACGTAGATCTCAGTTTGGGTAAGGAGTTAGAGCTCAATCATTTGTCTGCAATCATAGCTCATTAAGTTTTTCTTACGGTAGAAGTTTCGAGATAAACAATCCTTATATCAATGAATTCCGGCCAGCTGTGAGACTTTTGTCTGCGACTCTATATCTAATAGTATCGTAGTAGCAAAATCTGTGTTCTGAATAATACATATAAGATCTTGTTGTATTTGATTATCTTTCGTTTAGATAACGAAAATGAACAAGACTTGATAAAAGCATTGCACAACATCAAAATAACATTGGGTTTAACTGTTGTTGTAATTGCTCATCGTCTATCCACTATACAACAGGCTGATAATATTGTTTGTATGGAACATGGGCGGGGTATTGTTGAACAGGGTAGACATGAAGAATTAATGGCACATGATGGCTTGTACAAACAGTTCTATATGACACAACAAAATCCCATAGTGTCAGTAGTCACAAAAGAAGGTAATTGAGTTTCTTTTCTTACAATGACTCAAATTTGCTTCGAGGTTTTAGAAGAATTGACAACAACTACAATAAATATTAACGAAAATAATGACGGAGCAATGGAACAACCAACTGATGTACAACGAATATCTCCAGCTAATGATAATAGTAAAGTGGCAATGTTTTTGATAGAAATATTAAAATTAAATCGTTCAGAATGGTTCTATATGTGTTTGGGATGTGCGGCATCACTGATTTATGGCGCAATAACACCGGCTTTTGCTCTAATATTCAGTGAACTTTATGCATTATTTATCGAACAAGACTATCAGAAACAAGAAGTACAAGCACGAAATTATGCAATAATCATTTTTTTCATTGGCGTTCTCGGTGGTATCTGTCAAATGAGTTTTACATCATCATTTGCCAAATCCGGCGAAGAACTAATGGCTAAACTTCGACTGATGAGCTTTAAAGCAATACTAAGACAAGAAATTGGTTGGTTCGATCGAAAAGAGAATAATATTTTTACATTGGTAAATAATCTATACGCAGATATCAATGCACTTAAAAGTCTTAACGGAATGAATATTGGAATATTTTTTAATGCCATTGGTGCCATTGTGACCGCTTTCGTTATTGCGTTTCGTATTCATTGGCAATTGACACTCATTATATTATGTTTTGCACCAGTGATTATTCTTACGAGTATTTTTCTACAAGGTAATTTTGATTCTTAGTATTTCAAATCATATGATATTTATTTTTCTTTCAAGGACAACAATTTTCAACGAATATTGGAAATAAGAACAAAGTCAAAACCAAAACAACTTCTCACGCTGAAAAAGGAAATAAAGTAGGAAAATCGAAGGAACAAGAGCAAGCCGTCTCATTATTATGTCATCGATAAAATAAAGACCATTTTATCGCATTAAACTATGACACGATACGTGTTTGCAAACAACTGATAAAACTTTTCTAGAATCTGTGGTTCGCTGGAAGAATGCCCTGGAAAACTGCTTCCTTGATTTTGATAGAGACGTATGTGTATGTGAGTAGAGTCAACTGCGCGGATCATGCTTGATGAAAGTCGAGAGATTTTATTGCATACGCAAAAAACCTTCTGTTTCAAATTGTTCACTTTAGAATAAGACTTAAGAAAAGCGTTCGCTGAGATGTGTGCTTGCCAAAGTTTGATGCGCAACCGCTTGAAAAATTAGGTTTCTCGATGAATACACGTTATAAAACTTTTTCTTCATGTATATTAATCAATGAAGTCTCTATTCTGAGTACAAAAAGATAAAAGCATTCTTTCTTTTCAACACGTGCACAACATCCTTTTTCTTATTTTCTATCCATACATGTCTGTACATCGTTGCACACATATTCGTAAAATAGAGTTTGTCTTAAGTGCTAGAACTAAATAAAATGTTTGGTGTATGAAATCCTTCTCATCTTGTTCAGCATTTCATATGATCCTCTCGCGCATATTTTAAGTAGATTAAGTACCTTAGAAAGGTGTTGTACTAAATCCGAGTGCATCAAAACTTTTCTCTTCATCAGTAGCGGTGGAAATAATAAATGGTTAGGGGAGGCGGAGCCACCCGTCCCGAATTTTCAAAATGTGCTTTTCGCAACAAAAACCAAACGAACAAGAAGATCTTGCGTAATCTCTTTCTTCATACAGTGTAGACTTATTTTATCGTAATAAAATTCATTTTGTTGATTGCAACATCTGGACATAGAATGAAATCCCCAATGCGCGAGATTACACTTCGATATAGCTTCTCCTGTAGGCATAAGGACAGTTGCATTTTGTAAAAATCAATCTACGCATTGTTGTGTGCACTTTTTATTATATGAAGCAAATTCGCAGTATTTTTTGAAACCGTTTTCCTAAAAACATCAAAACAACCTATCATAGACGTCAGAAATAGTGGCACATTTTCCTAAAGATATTGCCTTCGGCAGTATGGTTGCCTGTAAAACATACTAAATCAATAATTCTAATATGACTTTTTCATGATTGTAAACACATAAAAATTTAAGCAAATTAGCTCGTTGGAATCAACTTGGATTTTAAGCTGGAAAGTAGTTTAAGATGCACGTCTTAAATACCGTATAAACGCTTGAACTGCCGTTGTTGAAGAGCGGCATTCGAAGAATTTTTCAACGCGATTAGTTGCTTTGTACTCGGATGCTTATCTAAGGGATAAGCATTGAGACATGAACAATTTCATAGAGTGGTCACAATTTTCAAAGTTGAATATGTCAAAACTTGATTCGTAGGAGAGTAAATAACTACACAATATTCGGCTGCAATATGGGTCCTATCCATTGAATACATGTCTGAGCCTACGGAAAATAATGACACTAAGCAAAAACTGTTTTATTACTCATCTAGTTGCCATTGATATCGTTGGTTGTTGAGCTTGTTGCATTATTGAAATGATTCTTCGGGAGAAGTTTAAATATTAGAAGCATAGTTACATGAGAAGATCTGTTTGCACTTACTTAATATTTTTTTTGTTCTGCCATTTTATTTCACTGCAAAAAACTCTGAAAAAAAGAGATAGTCACAACAGATGATTGATTTAGACTCACCTGTCTTGCCTAAGTGAAATCACGGTAAATTTTCAGAAAGGAATCCAAAAAAAAAGAAACAATGGAATCAGAGACTAGTTTGGACTAGCTTTGTAACTCAATCAGCCTTTACAGATAGCAATTTTTCAAAAAGCAAAGAAATAGTTAAAATAAAACTTGATAAGACTGATGAATATCATCGTGGATTTATTCTCATACTTATCTACTCTTTCTATCTAATGATCTGGTTGTATTTAGATTTTAAATTCTTGCACAGAATGTCAACAACATATTCTGATATTGTCGTTGAGTTTTTTTTTATTCTTATCAGCCATAGTATATCGAGGCGTGGCCACGCGTGACGGAATTTCATTTTTTCAGACTGCAACCCACGTAATTTCTTAGTCAAATAAGTAAACTGTCTGAAATTTTTATTACAAATAGAGCTCGCTTAGATCTGTAACCAGTAAAATTTTTACCCATTTCTCTTCAACTGCAACAGAGTTATTCAAAAAATAATGACCGTTACGGAATTTCTGAAAATGGAAATTTTTTTTCGAGTGGCTATGAGTTAAGCATTTTTATACGAAAGAACGAAGTACTCAAATCAAGGTTGCATTCAAAAGTTGTTCAGCTTTTAACAAACTATTAGGACATCAGATCATTTCTCATCCATCTTAGCTTCATCAAATAAAAAAACTTGAAATATCGCTCGTTACGGAATTTCACCTTTTTCTGAAATTCTGAAAGGGAAGGTTTGAGAACTTACTATTTCAAACTATAAAGATAAAGTTCATCTTTTTTCTGATACATGAGTAGTACAAAGACAGTTTTATCTTTCCTGTATGTTAGTTTTATTCTGGCAATGGAATCTCATAAGAACATCTAACTATTTTTCAGACAAAAATGCAATGTGAAGAAGTAAAAAAATATGCTTTTTTGACGAAATTAGTCAATAAATCCCTTTTTCGACACCTGTCGCACCAAAAAGTGGAGTTTTTATCACTCCTCGTATAACTTCCAGCATGTTTGATAATCGATTGATAGCACTCTTCCAACTGATCGAGACAGTATTGCTCACTTTGTTATTTTAAACCTTCCTCACAGAAAGGGTGACCGATGCGTGACCATGCCGATCGTCGTCTTTTTCTATACCGTGCACACAAACATGAACAGTGACTGAGTGAAGAAGAACAAAAACAGCGATAAGTAAGATTAGTGCCATATCGTCTTAAAACGGGCGATGACAAATACAGCGGGTGATCATAGGAACGGAAGAGAAAAATATAAATTCAAATCATCGTCATGATCGGATAGCAGTGCTGAACTTAGCAAAAATGTAAGAGATCAGAATGAAACGAAAGCACTGACAGTATCATGAAAACGAACAGAAGCGCTATGAGCTTACTGTGTCTTGCACCTGCTGTTGATGAGGAAACAAGTTTTGGGGAATTATTGTTTCCTACCAATATTGAGAAAGTTAACCCTTCAAGATCGTATTAATTAGAGAAGAAATCTAAAAGATGACAATTTGAATTGCGAAAATGTCGATGAGCCCATGCTCAGGTCTAACTATATGCAATGAAAAGTGTTCTAATACAGGAAATCGCTTGAAAACAACATATATTTCAAAAAAAAATGTGTTGATCTCTTTAGAAATGGAAAGTTGATTGAAAAGTTAAAAATTCATTGAAAAAGTTTGCTCCAATATTGAAATTAGATAAGTAGAATTATAAACAGATTTAGAAAAAAAATTGAGATCAAACTGAAATCCTTATCTAGACAATCGCAAGACAAATCTATCTTCAAGCATCCAAAAGAAAAAGAGACATAGGCCATTTTACGCGTGAAAGAAGAGAAAAACATACGAATATGTACTCGGAGAAATAGGCCTATCCATATATGGTCAGTTTAATACTGCATCGGATGTTCAAGAACGAAGGACGCTAATAACACAGTCTTATTGAGAAGATAACAGCTAGCGACACCAATGAAGATTGCCAAGCACTCAGTACATTAAGGAGATTGAAGCTGAAACTGTTTGAACAGGTTTAGACTTCGCAGAAATCTCAGTGCTTTCAAGGAATTGCGACTGCTATTATTGGTAAATGTTTGAATTTTTTTTTTGTTTCAGCTTTTCTAAGTAGCTTAATGAATTTCTCGTGCTTGAAAGCACTTAAAAACCAAACGTTAAGCACTTTTCAGTTGCTTAAAGAAATTTAAGCTTACTTAAGCTGTCAATTTTAGCAAGTAAGCAAGAATTTTCTATGCAAAATGTTTAGAAATTTATTTTTAAGAAAATCTACGGAAAATAGTTTTTACTTTTCTGACTGAAAAAATTTCTTGTCTCCTAGCTATGCGCTTTTAGACTAGGTACTCGTCTGTTAAGATTTAAATAGCGCATTGAAAGTAGTCTTTCAAATCCGAGTTTCACATTCAATCACGGTTTCTAATATGCAGATTATGTGAGAGAAGTAACGACATTTTACTAGGTGATCAATTTTCGGGAACTAATTGATATGTGACAAATTTTTTCATATTATATTTCAGTAATATACATTCTTTTATATCATAATGTTCGTTCCGTACAATATTCTAATATCAAAGTACAAGGAAGAAATGAAAAACTGAGCCTTATCATAAAGTAGCAGTTGGAAAGAGAATGTCTTTTGCACTTATTAAAAGTTCTGTATACACCTCATGGTAAGAAACATGATTGACGTACTCCACCCTAATGGAGAGCATAAGTTATTATTAAATATCGAAAGAAAAGTGTTCTAGGAATTTTCATAGTGAATCAGAAATTCTACTAAGATTCTATCTGCTGGTTCAAATCTGAATAATAAAAGATCGATAGGTATCGTGTTCCATCTCCAATGCAATAAAATGATTTTCATTTCATTTGGACGCAAGACTTTATTCATTTTTTTTCATTTTCGGATAAAAAAACAACATTTCTCTTTTATTTAGTATGTATCACAAGCAATCGATAATTTTCATACTGTTGTTTCCTTTGGTAAAGAACGTTACTTCATTGAAAAATATGAGAAAGAATTCAATCAAGAATTTCGGTATTATTTATCTATAATTATCACTTTCAAAGGTTTTGTTAAATCTGCATTTCTTATCTTAGACAGTCAATCCACAAAATACTACTAGTTGCACTAGGGAATGCAAGTGGAAATTCTATCATGTTTTTTATTCATGCAGCTGCATTCAGTTACGGTTCTCACCTAGTCAAACAAAAGCAAATATCATTCGTTGATGTTTTCAGGTACGTATTATATTGAAAATGTTGCTGTGGCTTTTATTATCGCGAAAATAATGTCTGATAAAAACTCAGTGGAATCTGAAACGTTTAATCCTACAGCCTAATAATAATTGATTGAGTTGAACTAATTAAACGGGAATCAAATCGATCGTATTTTCTTCATCATTACATTTTTGTCAACGGTAAAAATAGGAACTTTTGTAGAACCATTCTTTCTCAACTTATAGAACAAGAAAACGTACTATGTATTTTAGAATATTTTCTGTCGTTACGTTTGCTGCAACATCAATCGGTCGAACTGTTGCCCTAGTGCCAAGTTTCAGTAAAGCAAAAGCAGCTGCATTGAAAATATTGACTTTAAATAATCGAAAATCTAGAATTGATCCAGATAGTTCGGATGGACGTATACCTGTAAGTATGTAATATTTATCAATGCCTAGTTAAACTATTCTTGATGAATTCTAGTCGAAGTTAATAGGAAAAATTGAATTTAAAAACATTTGGTTTCAATATATTGATGAAATATTTGTATTGAAAAACGTCAATTTGACATGTAATGAAACTGAAATGATTGCTTTAGTGGGAACATCCGGTTCGGGAAAATCAACATTGATCTCGTTATTCGAACGATTTTATTCTCCAACTACTGGACAAATACTTCTGGATGATATTAACATAGAAGATTTGAATCTTCGTTGGTTACGTTCGCAATGTTCATATGTCGAACAGGAACCAATTCTATTTAACACATCGATTCGAGAAAATATTTGCTATGGAATGGAGGATGGTGTATCTCAAGAACGAATTGAAGAAGCAGCTAGAAGAGCACATGTTCATCATATAATACAATCATTAGCAAAAGTATGTATTTAATACGAATAATGAAGTGTAAAATTAATAGAGCTATCTTTCTAGGGTTATCATACAATGTGTGGTTGTAAAGAGAGCTTAATGCTGTCTGTTGGAGAAAAACAACGTATTGCGTTGGCTCGAGCATTTATTCGAGAACCAAAAATTTTGCTACTGGACGAACCGACAGCAGCACTTGATGCTAGATCAGCTGAAGTAAATGCTCATTAATCAATTTTTTTTCTATTCTTATTTCTAGATTGTTCAAAATGTCATCAATGGTCTTAATCCAATGCCGACATGTTTGAATGCTACTCATCGTCTGTCGACACTCGATCATAATACATCAACAGCTCAAATAGCAGTTGTTCATTATGGACAAATACGCCAAAAAGGCACATATCATGAACTCATAAATACAGAAGGAGGAATTTTTCACCGATTAGCCACCATATCACCAACTTGATACAATAATAATCTATTGCTTAACTATTATGATTCTGTGATCTGTACATATAATATTTCTTTTAGCTAAAGTTATTTTCTTTAAAAGAAAAAGAGATTTATGCGAACCTTGACTTCAAATATGGTATGAGTGTGGATATAGGTGTGCGTGGGTGTGGATGTGGGTTAGAATATCTGTGTTTCTCTTCGAATGAAGCACGCATGAACGCAGAACCCAACACGCCCAATTATACCCACACCTAGTTTTGCTGAAAGTTACGTGAAAAAAAAGAAAATATTGACATGAAGTGTCTGGACGTCTTTATAGATAACTCCGCAGCGTTTATGCGTATTGATCAGAAAAAGTTTTTCTTATGAAAATTAATTTTCATGCATATTCAAATAGGTGAAATCCATATAACTTAATGAAAAATGCCTAACAGATAGTTATTTTGAAGTATAATGAACAGAAAGACAACTAAGTTTAAATACATTAAATCTTACTACAGAACAACAAATGCACTTATTATATGAAAATATAATAACGGGTGGGCCATAAGGAACCGACCTTTTAGTATTTTTAAGATTTCTCCTCTACTATTCCCTTGATTAAAACACTATTTTTTATCAAAAGATAGCACTTGAAATTCTCTATAAAGCCATATATAACTAGACCCTTTACTTCTTAGCATAAGAATAATAAGTTTCTTTTCAAATCCTTCTAGTACTAATCAGTGTTTAGCATCAGTGATTGGAGAAAGCAAAAAATGGTCGAGCAATTTATAATAAAAGAACAAGAGCTTCTTTTAAATAAAAAACACCAACCCCGACGAATAAGCTGCACTAATATTTCAACTAGAATTTCTTTTTAAAGTCAACATTTTAAGACTCACATATGTTCGTGAATGTTGTATCGTAATGAATTCGGATAGAAAAGCGAAACTAACGAAAATCCTTTTGAGGGTGCGATGTGTAGGTGTGTGTGTGGATGCAGATGTTGATGTATGGAAGTACAAAAACACCCAAAACCAGACCACTCTCATACACTCACTCTTACTCTTTATTTTTACTTCTTTTACTGCTTAAAAGTAAAAGTTCTGGAAGATGGTCAACATCCGTTTTACTTTTATATGGTGTTAATGCAAAAACTAGAAAGACTACAGATAATTTATGAACTGATATTCTTTTTTCTCATACTGCTGTAAGTTTTTATTCTTTTATTATAAATTTCTCGGCTATTGTTCACAGCGACCAATTTTCGCATTGACTTACTTTCACGTTGGCCAAGTTTCTTAGCGACTAATTTTCGTATTGACCAATAATTGGCGCACAATTTTCGTTCTACTATTTTTTGTTCGACTTATTTAAAATATACGATAGAAAAGTACAACAGACAAATTGACAATGGACACATTCGAAATGAATGAATATTTGTGAAAAGAATGAATCGTAAAATATTTTGCTACTTCTTCGAATGATTGTGCAGGCTCGTACAACAATCCACATCCACCCGATGAACTCACTGATAAAAAAATTCTTCTGTTTAAAATTATACTGAGAAAAATATTTCCATAAAACCTTTAAACTCAGATACCTCTTGAAACTTTTCTTTTGATGCACATTTGCGCATTTATTTTGACTCTTCATCTCCGCCATTATGACTAACTATATTACGATCACGCTTCAATCGTCATCTGATTGACACTTGGAAATTTCTTGGCTTATCACATGTGCGTATAACAACCAAAATAGAACATTTAGAGCTATAACTGTAGAACAGAGGAAGAAAAAATAGGAAGAGTATTTTCATTTTTTCGGGCGAATGTATAAGTGAGCATGTAATATTAAATAGGTATATCATCGTCAACAGTGATAAGCAGGAGGAGGAATAAGTTGAAATCAGATTTTTTCAATTAAACTGATTAAATTGTGTTTTTTTTAATTTTCTGTTGACTTTAAATCATAGAGAATCAGTGTAATCCAAAACTCCAGAAAAATCCAAAGCATGACTTTTTTGAAGTTATTATGTTAGATCTCATTCTCTAAGTGTACAAATCGTCTTCTTTTAATAACCAAGTTCGACTTACAGGCTTAAATTATGAGAAAATACTTAAAATTAAAGCACAAAACTTTCAAAACTAGACCTTTTTGAATAAGTGATTTTTTTATTAGTTGTATTATATTGATTTTTTTTGCTTTAAAATTGATAAAAACATTTTAAAAACTCAGCTAGTTCTCCTGTGGGTAAACAGCAGGTGGGCTTTTGTATATTCTTGATTCTTCAACTTATAGTCCCTCTCCAAGACGTTGCTGAATTCATGAAATTCAGTCAATGATGCCATTCAGAAGACTTCGCGAAAACATATGCAATTTTGTTACTATATGACGATAGCATTATCAGAAATCATGAACATTGAACTGTTGTAGTCTTAAACGAACTCATTCGGAAAGACAACAGTAACAGTTATTCAACAGCAACATTGACAAGACATGGGCAGTTCACATTCATCCTTAATACCACATTTTGATGCGAATATTCGTACAAGGGATGGAAAGACATTTAAATTATCATTTCGTGATTTTGCTGATCATATTGTATTGCTACGTCGAATGATTGAGCATCCAGAAATGACACAGAAAGGTGAAGTGTTGAATTATTTTATTGAAGATTATTGTAGACGCATGTCTCACCAAGCAATTACAGCTAGACATAAACAATGGAGACTTTCATGGCAAACCGACTGGCTTTGGCATGCTCATCGTCTTCATCCAATTGCCTATAATAACGACTGTACTAAGCAATTGGCGGATGGTAAACTTGTTGATAAAAGATACCGACGATTAAAAATAAAACAACGTCAAAAATACCGTTTACTCACTTTGCCTGAATCAATTAAAACTCCTTCAACGTTTGTTCCTTCGATCGATCTGACCAACGCCGTACTTCGTCAACGTGATTTTCTTGAAAAATTCAAGCAACATCATCTATTTTCGATGAATTTACGACAAATGGATCGAAATTCATTTGAACAAATGGTATAAAATTATATTTCATTTTTGCAATTAGCCAAAAAAGACGAAATCCTTGTACCAACATTCGATATTGATTTGATATGGCATACGCATATGAGATCTCCATCATCTTATCAAAAGACGTCAAAAGCCCTATGTGGTTTTCTTCTTGATCATGACGACTCGCTGGGAAATGATTCTCTGGTTGATGCTTATCAGAAAACAGCTAAACAGTGGAGGACGACTTACAAGGTAGATGATGGCAAAAATATTGACAAAGATAGCTCGCGCACATCACAATATGTTAGCACGCGTGCCATGATAGCTGCGCCGGTTGTTATATACTCATCGAGTGGAAATGACGGTGGCATTGGTGGGTGTGGAGGTGATGGTAGAGGTGGTGGTGGTTGTGGTGGAGGTTGAGTTGGTTGCAGGGATAAATAAACTGTCTCGATACTTAAGTATAAAAGAAATTGACTATTTTTTAATTTTTTTTGCTAATTCGTTTCTTTCAATAAAATCAAGTTATATTCCGATATGCCCGACATGTACAACATTCTTGTTGTACACAAATTGATTCGGCAGATGTGCACATTTTGTTTACTTCGAAATGCAACTCACTCGTTACGGTCGGTCTATGAGAGCTCGATAGCTGCTGTTCCTTCGGCTAAACTTTTGCACAATCTATCAATGAAACCATGTTCTAATGAATTGCTTAAGGAGTTACTCCGTTACGAGTCTACTCGAATCAAATTCATATCGACTGAGTTGCATCGATCAACACTATTGGACGACTGTTAACTATCAATGAAACGTTCACAAAACATGATGTGTCATAACAAGTTGTTCAAGCATTTGTCACACTCATTTGCATGCGAGGCGTTGTTTCGTGCTTTGTATCGGTTGAAATTCAATTTACACCATTTGCCTCTTTCGCATTCGTCAATCATGTAACTCTTAAAGATAGATAGTCCTACTTAGCTTCTTTTTCAAATCTAATCTAAATCGCTTCACTGTAACTACGAGAGCAAGAATTCATCACTCTCGAAGCACTATTTGCAGAATAGTGAAGCTCCCAAAAAATCGTTAGTACTTAGGTGAAAGCATTGACTAACTAAAAAGATGGACACATATTCTGAAGCGAGGCACTCTGGTCTACCAGTCTATGATATAAAAGATAAATCGGAAATTTACTAAAGACATCGACTTCCTGAGGTAGTGGGGAACTTTTAAGAGAGGTCCAAGAAAAAAAAACCGTCTGATATAGAAGAGTTGGAGGGTTGGTCAGGGAGAGTCTGATTGTAGATCTTGTCTTAATTGGCTGACACATCATAGGAATCATCATAGAGGGGCTCCAATCGACACATGATTCCAGCCATATTCTTCTTAGAATATATAGAAAAATATCCATCAAAACACTTTAATTGTATTGTTCAACATTGATAGTTCTAGAGAGTATGGTGCGATGTGATAGGTGTGAGTGTCAATAAGGAGAAGGCTCACACCGACCCCCACATCCTGGCAAGTATTCAGTTCGAAATCGAGTGTTGATGAATGATTTTCTTCATCTGATGATTGTTATTATTGTTTTCAACATGAAGAAATGTTAAATTTCATTCGAAAGCATTTTTAATGAGTCACTGTTCGTTCTAAGGATATTTTAAAATCATCTAAATGTTTGAACAATAAAAAATTTGATGTGTTTTTTTGTTTGGAAATGTCCTTTCTCTAACCATTTGAAGTCAAATACTGTCGTGTTCTAAGTCGCAATGTAGATCTCACCCTCTTATTTTCTTTTTCAAGAATGTTTTCATGTACGTTGCTTTCTGAAAAACTCTAAAACCAAAAGTTTTGACTTAAAACAATGGTCAGAAATTTATATTTCATTTTTACTTGACTTGAGTGTTGGCAATGCGTATGAAAATTGAAAACACGAAGCATCTATTGATATTAAGCATAGCAGGGATATACCTAGTCGAACATCTAGAACGGATCTCTCAGAATTTTTCCTGTTTCTTGACGTCATCGCAATAAAATGACGAACAAATTCTATCAAAAGACTCATCGTCTGGTTCTGTACAAAACTGGATCAATGACCTAACCTTAATGGTGTCAATTAACGTTTCAGGCAGTATTAAACTAATTGGCTTCTTTAAAGAGTACCAAACTTTCACAGAGAACATTTTAATAAATATTTTGCACTAGTGTTTCGTTCAATAATATTGTGTTTGGATTCGTAGCTACACGAGTTCTCTCAACACTCTTGTCAGAAATCGTGATTAAAACTCGGTCTCAACTTTTGTACGTTTGTCATAATTTCTTTAGGTCATTATCTGTTGGTTGAAAGTATAGAACATAACTGACTTTTCTCTGTAAATCGTCAAAAATGTAAGAAAGTCGAAATCGAGTTGTAATTTTGATTTCAGACAAGATATTCATCGTGAACATTGACACACATACAATTCACTTTTTGACCTTTCGTAATACTTTGTTAGAGCTGGACTTATATCATTACGAATAAAAATACAATGTTATTGAAAGAAATATCGATGAAATAACTGAAAAATCCAATGTAAAGTCCTGAGCGACCGATTCTTGATAGTACACCCAATATTTTGTTACACCTTCAACATTTTTAGTGTGTTGAAAAACCTAGAAATTTACAGGAAAATGTGCATTGTTGTCTGTAGGATTTTTTGTAATAGCCGATCAAGTAGAGAGCAATCATTCAAATTTTGCTACCATAAAACCCTAGCATGCATGCATGAACACAGTAGAAAAAAAAAGTGCTATCTTGTAAATCTATCTCCCTATGATTCATAAAAAGACACTCAGTGTTAATTTTTCTCCTTTTTTTCACTTTTCTGTTTACCTTCACCGTGCATCACAATACGGATCCTCATAATCTAACGGTGAATCATTTTTCGGGCTAGTATCAAATAAAAAAAAAACAGTGAAATAAGAAACACAATAATTTTCTTAAAAGCCTCAAAATGTATATAACAGCATTCATCTAATTCAACTTCTATCTCAAAAAAATAAATAATGAAATATCGAAATGAAAACGAGTCTCTTTTTATCTAATACTCATTCGAAAACAATCATATTACATTGTAATTCACAAGTAAAATTCAAATGACAGATCATTTATTTATTTATTTTTTTCAATTCACTTCATCAACTATTATCTTCAATTATTGAAAATAGATGTCCAATGAACGATTATATTGACGAGTCATCTACAACAACTAAAACATTTCGTTTTGACTCAGGTCAACTTTTAACACATGGTAATTCTCTCATAAGTGAAGTTGATGTTGGGTCGACATTTAATGCATCATTAGCGAATGACATCATCGATTCCGATGAACTATGAGATGAAGTTAGTGCATTATTGCCACTTATTGATCCATCATCATTAACAGCATCTGAATCCAAATGGTAATTGTTTTGTAAAACTCTATTTTAAGAAAGCATAGAAAATCATTAAGTTATATTTACCACCAGGGTGTGGGTGTGAGGGTGGATATGGCTTTGAGTAGAAAGAAAATACTTACTTTACCTACCCACCCACAGCAAAATTCTAAAAACTCTAACCAAGTGCCGAAGTGACGTTTTGTTTATCTAATTGAAACAATTTTAGACTTTGCTTTTCTCGTAATAGTTAAAGTTGATGTTAGACTCCAGAATCTGCTTTAGTTTCTGAAGGTGAAGAGTGTACTGGAATTTCTTACAGAGACAGAACGTGATTTGAAAATGGCTTATTCCATTTCACTTAATATAAATGTAAGGCTAATGGGAATCAGTCAATTTCTCTTTCTTTGTTTCTTTTATTACTCAGTAACGTTTCAGTATCAAATAATGTCTTCTTCAGACACGATAAAATGAATAAAAATAAATACTTTGATTGAGTTTTGTTCATATGTAAATGATAAGGACTTTTGTCAAAGTGAAGAAAAAAACCAAAAGAAAAAGTGGATCGGAAGACAAAAATACTGTAACGAATGAAGATTTGTCATTCTTCATTTATATCTGATCCATTACAGGTTTTTTCTTTTCATTCTTTCGTCATTTTGACAGAAGTTGATATGATTTACATATGAACAAAAGTCAATCGAAATAATTACTTTTATTCATATAGATTTCCATTAACATTAATGACCTTCCTAACAAGAATACAATAAATGTAAACATTCCAAGAATTGTGAGAGTGTACATCTACATGCATTCCTTCCACGTTCGTCGGCTCACATTACATCAGCTACCTATGCAACTGAGAACCAATGTTCTAATAATTCACTGTAGATAATAATTGTCAGTAAAAATCGATGTTTGAAAGCTGTTTATTGAATAGTTGCGAAATATTTCACATCAACTTCGTACCTTGAACTTTGTTGGCGTGATATTTCATTGATCGAGTAGCTAAAATGTTGATTAGTTAATCATCGAGGACAAATTTTCACTTACACATCACGTGATAACAAACTTACTGACGAAGAAAAATGTCCGTAGAATATTGAAAAGGTGAAAATCGTTATCGATGCACTTTTTTCACATGTTTACATGAGAGGGGCGTTGACTCGCGTGCTCTCTAGACTATATATTACCTCTGTTTTGTACATCTGTTCGATGTTTATAAAGCGTCAAAATATTTCAATTAATTTTAATTTCTACGAAGTCAAGCCAGGCAATTTGATCATTACTTCTTCTATAGAACATTATACACGAGATAGATTTTGAGAAATACACATTTTCTGTCAGAAAATTTCACTTGAACTTTCATTTTTATAAACAGAATACAATAATGTTAATAGAAAGTGCGCGTCCAACTCGAACTGCTCATGTTACCAAAACTACACCTGCACCTCCTCTTGCTATCGGCAACCCTGGTCCACTTGGTCTTGGTGCTTTTGCTCTCACAACTTTCATGCTTTCAGTATTCAACGCTGGTTCCAACTTGATCGACAGTCGTGTTGAAGCTGTAGTACTACCCGTTGCTTTATTCTATGGTGGCATAGCTCAATTCGCAGCTGGAATGTGGGAATATCGTGTCAACAATACATTTGGTGCTACAGCATTTACTAGTTATGGTAGTTTCTGGATGTCCTTTGCTGCCTATGTTTACTTCATTGTTCCTCAACTGGCAAGTACTGGTAAAGCACATCAAGCAACAGGACTTTTTCTTCTTGCATGGCTTATTTTCACTTTTTATATGTGTATTGCCTCTTTTCGTGTTTCACTACAATTATTCTTTCTATTTGCTATTCTTGTTGTAACATTCATACTTCTCATTGTTGGAGCTCTTGCTGAAAAAAAAATAGTAACAAATGTTGGTGGTTGGTTTGGAATAGTGACAGCATTCGTTGCTTGGTATGGTTCAGCAGCTGTCATGATCAATACAACATTTGGCCGCAATATATTGCCTCTTGGAGTACGCACAGCTAAAGCGAAACATTCGGATTAAACATTAACTGGATAAGATAATTTGAACTAGGAAATTTTTCGGTGTATGTTTACAAATAGACTTTTATATTTCATCTTGTATTGTACTATATAATCATTCTTAAAAATATAGGTAGAATTCTTTTCTGTTCGTGCATAATGTACGATCAACTTATATCTCTACAGTTGAATTTGACAAAAATAAGAGCAGCTGTTGTGCTAAATGACTAATGAATGTATTTACATACGTTGCATTAACTTCTTTTCCTATACAAACACAGCATACGTGTCATGCATAATAAACAAGAAAAGAACCATGTAAAAAAGACAGAGAGAATGAAAGAGAAAAAAAAACGGAGAAAGACTAGGCCGTTACCGGTATCGTCACACTCAAATGGTCCTCCTTCTCGATTTTGACTTTAAACCTTAATTTGATGCTTTTCAATTTCAACATGCACAAACGAGGTAATTAGTGGTAGCCAATATATAATATAAAAATAGAAATGAGAAAAATAATGAGATTTGATTTTGAAAACTATTAATAGTTCGATGGGTTGAAGAGTATATGAGAATTTTGCGTAATAAATACATGCACATGGATAAAACAATTTACGGATAAATAAGTCGAAGGGTCTTAATGATTTGAAATTCTAGAGTATTATTTTCAAGAATGTCGAAGACGTTTTTTCTTGTATTCAGTAATATCGGGAAAACCTATCAATATGGAAATGTGAATAATATGATATCGTTTAACGTGCAAAATTGTCCTTGAAGTTCTTTATATTTTCATTAATTTTTAGCTTTGTGATCTTTTCGACACTTTGTGAATATTTTTTTTTGGTTGATCCTTTGCAATTTTACTTTCCACTGAAAAGGATAAGATTTAGAAATGACAGATTAGTTATTGATGTTCATCTGATTTTTTTCTTTATTATTCTTTGATTTTGCATTTTCACCATCATAACTACTGATTTTCATAGATACATTCAATAGTAACAAAAAAAAATATCGTATTAGAATAATACATATGTAGTTGATTATTGTTCACCAATTACTCATATGATAATATATCTAAAAGATTCACTTGATGGCATTCTGGCAAAACAGAAGCAAACCGTTTGTTGTGAAACGGTCTCATTTGTATTCCGGCACTCACACACACATCCCATAAGACCAAAAGGACTCTACTTCATCATTAAAAAACTCTTTATTTATTTGTATAAAAACATGTGTCGACAACATGAGAAAAATAGGTCAAAAACATAATAAATAGTTATGAGATAATTATTACATAAAATAGAAGTTGATAAAAAAAAAAGGACAATTTGATACAACAATGAAGTAACCAAAATTCTTTAAATCAAAATGTTTTTTTTCTCAAATAATAATAACTGAATCTAATTACTAATCAGTGCAAGTTTATGTTTTTATTTAACGTCAAAATTAGAACTCTTCCTCTATATATTCATACTCTAAGCATTTAAAATAACTTCTATTAGCTATTCATATTAATCAGTCAAAATTGTTTTTGTTTTTTGAATAATTCTATCAGTAAGTCAAGGAATGATCGTGATAATGTAGTCTTATCCTCAATAGAAATTATTCCCTTCATTTTTATTTCTAATAGTTTACAAACACTTTATGCGAGTTAAAATTTAAAAATTGATATGAATAAAAAGATATCATCTCTTAAAGTAGTTCGTTGAAATTGAAAAATGAAACTATTTTTTATTTTATAAAATACGATTTGACAAGGAGGAATAAAATCATAAGTTTATAATTTTGTATACAATAATATGCAAATTAAAGAGATTTCGCACTTGTTATTCGCACATAAAACTATGTGTTGAAAAAAAAAACATATTCGATCAATTATCTATTCATTCGACATTATTTTATGTTTTAGAAATATGTTTCATTTTTTTTGTTGATAACATCAATTGAATAGAGCGCATAAGTATATGAATATAAATATTGACGTATATAAAAAAAACAGATATATGTGTAGCTGAACATGGAATATTTATGTATTGAATTGAATGATTTACCCGATGAAATTCTTATATTTATTTATAAATAAAACTGTCTAAAATTGTAAATGATTTAATTTTGAGTATTTGTTTAACATTATTGAGATATTTATCAGATGATTGTATCTTTTCATTAATTATCTGACCCAATATTTGATGAGTTTTATCAGCAAATCTTGCCTGAAATTCATCATAAAATAAAATAGCTCAATCTTGCATTTTGATCTATAGGACCTACTGTGCTTTCTGCAAAATATTATAATTTATCTAGACATAATGTATATAATATTGAAAAGGAGAGTGTTTTACAATATCGTCACTGGTAACATATTATCATTTGTGGTGGCACATTTACTTTACTTTTTCTGTAGATAAATAGAATCCAGTAAATATAAGTAAATGTTATATAAGTTCTGTTCGAATTATCTAATAAATGTTGAAACTAATATTAGGGATGTACAGCTTACGGTTATGAGCGCTCATCTGAGCGTGAGTGGTTTTTCTGTCTTGAATAAAAGTGGAAGGTAATAATTTTTCAGAATGTTTGACCAAATGAAATCGGATTCTTTATAACAGGTTATATGAATATCCTTTAGTTCGTTCTTCTTTCTATTAATACTTAGGGTGTACCAAAAGTTCTGATCACGACGTTACATAGCCATATAGTAAGCTTAAAAAAAACTTTCTTTCTATATAGTCTAATAGAGAAAAGAGTGCTCTATTTTGCTATGCTATTTNTCAATTACTTGCTTATTGACATAAATTTCACGAATCACTTAAATAACTACTTATATCATGTAATCTCGATACTTAAGTACCATCCATATGAACAATTTTCTCATTATAAGCTATTTTCACACTGCTTCTGTGTGCTTAAGCATACATGCAGCACTTGGACGTACTTGTGTATCATATTGGTAAGCGCATTTAAGCCAGTTTGGGTACTTACATTTTGACATGTGTACGCGTGATTTATCGACAAGTCTTCATGGTTCCGAATACCTATCAGGTACTTGTAATGTTGACAGAGAAGTACTGTACTACTTTTCGCTTAAATTAGCCAGCACCTAACGTTTGCTTGCTTACTTGCGAGGAATAACGTCTACTATGGATGTTTCGTGTTCACGTGCTTGTCGAAGTACTTGAAACAAGTAGGGTGAGGGTGTGAGTGCGGGTATGACTAACGAGCAGACAAAACACTCTTACCCACACCCTCTCTTGAATTATGTATTGATGGTCATGACTTATAACATGATTTAGTTAAATGCATGGAATATTTAACTATAATCTTAAGTTCGATTTAGGAAATGTTTTTTCTCGTAGTCTCGAACTCGACAACTTTTGTTTCTCATGATCTACCACATCTCTACCGAAGATTTATTTAAAATTTTAAGATCATGATTTGTTACAATCAAGTTGTATATTATGATCTCATTTTCTTATTTTAGTTTTAATATTAAAACCATAGCATACGAGGACATTTTCTTAGAGTTTTTATAATGAATGACAAATATGTTATTTATGTCGAACTTTAAAATATGTTTCCTCTCGTGAAAAGAAAAGAGCTCTTCGCACGCATAGTACTGACTAAAAAATGTGGAAATTTATTTTATTCTTCCAGCTGCTAAAGGTAGTCAAATAAAGTAAACGTGTATTGATATCATTCTTCTGTTGACACCCACACCATTTCGGATCGAACGGACGCAGTTTTTGAAAAACGTTCAAGTCGAACCGATCCCATCTGTGAAAATGGCCAACAACAACATTAGTGACAATCGAAGAAGAAATTATAGCTTAGACAGATGCATATCCATTTTGAACTATTCTGGATTACCAAGGAAGTGTTCGCACTCGTAAAATCTCCTTTGCGGCTCCAAAAAGCAATTGTGTTTGACTTTCATCTTTTAACTTCATGAGGGCATGTATTAACAAACTTTTTAATCTAAATATTAATCCACTATTGATGATTGAAAATCATGTAATCAAGAGTCATCGAGCATTATTTATTATTCCAAGAACTTGTTTTGCATTACTACTAAGAGGTTTTGCTTCTACATCGTTTACTTACGTCCATAACTACGTGGAGCAGAAAATGTCACAATTGTTCTTTATTATAATTATGAAAACCCTACGATAGAAACTTACTCGTTGTGAAAGAAGCGTTTAGAAAAGTAGCATGATAAATTAACAGTCCCGGTTTGAAGTAAATAACTCGTTGTTTTTTTCTTCGAATTCAAATAGCCAAACATCGACGAAAAACACCAGAAAAGAAGTATTTGCACGCAACTTATCCATTCATATGCGTTGAGCTTCATATCTCACATGTCAAATCATGTAAAACTTCAGTGTTTAGTGTCTCGAATGTGATCTCCCACGAATAGATTTGATTGGTTTTGCCTCGTTAAAGGTCCCATGGGGAAGAACACTTTATACCATACGTAAGAATCAGCTCCTCGAGCTCTATAAACTCATATACATCTGATTCAAAACGGCGCGTCACACTTTGATACCTTTCCTTGTTAGTTACTTATGATTTGCTAGCAACCTACATTGATCTTGAAAACGTTTACTTTTAGATTTGCTGTCAGCAAATAACTTTTTCATGTGGAATCGAAATGAAGACATGGCTCCTTCAGTCGTCAATGATGTTGCAGTAGCTCAACCGAAAAACAAGATATCTTGTCGCCTTTCAATCATTCGTGACTTCAGTTTGAACACATCAACACATGCTTTACCGGGTATTGCTCGGAGTGAGAGTTTGCATAATCGTATTTTTTGGTCGCTTTCATTCATTAGTTTTACTGGTGTAATGATCTTTTTCGTTGTCAAAGCGATCTTGGGCTATTTCAATTATCCAACAAGTATGGATGTAAGCTTTATTAGTGAATGGCCACAGGAATTTCCAGCATTTAGCTTTTGCAATATCTCACCACTTCGTCTGGATCTATTTTGGAAGCCTTTTGTTAACTACTCCATCATGAATAATTGGACAAGTGCAAATGATACAACATGGAGTCCATCTCAATTTTTAGATCTTGCAAGATTTCTCGTAAATACTTTCAATAAAAACGAAACGGTGGAAGCATATTTCTATTCACTTTCTGCACTAATGTACAAATGTACATTCAATAATAGACCATGTTCAACAAATGATTTCATTTCATTTACATCATCCGTCTACGGTGCCTGTTATACATTCAATGCAAAATTGAAAAATAATGCCGGTCAAAATATACTTTATGCGAATGAATATGGTGGCGATGGCAAGCTCTCTATAGGTCTTTACATACATGGTCATCAGTATGTGCCTTTTCTCATGGAGGGTAAGTCAATATTTTATTCATCAAATTTTATAAATTAGATTTCTTCATTAAGGGTTTGGTGCCGTGGCTCTAGTTCACGATAATACACAATTGCCACTTATTGAAGCAGCTGGTATTGAATTAGCGGCAGGATTAAGACACAAACTTGGATATAGAAAGAAGACAACTTACCTATTATCTTCACCCTATACAACATGCACTGACAAAGTATCTCCTACTATGCAAGCCATGTTTGAATATTACAATAATACTAATTATGGCTATTCTGAAACGCTATGTTATCAACTTTGTGGACAGGTTTATGCGTAAGCATACTTCAACTGATAATAAGATGTCCTAATTTTCATCGTATTGTATCTCATAGATCTCATTGTATTTTAGGTATGAGCAATGCGGTTGTGTAAGTCCTTATCTATGGAATGGTCGCACACTCTATGTCTCGAGCATCAACCGAGTAGTTTTTGCACCTCTTTGTGAACTCGATAATATGTGTTACAACAAAGCCATTGGTGAACTTTTAACTTCATCTTCTCTTATGAAGAGTTATTGTTCAGAATGTTTACAAGAATGTGAAATAAGAAATTTTATTGTACAAACTTCTTCACTATCATTACCAGGCGAATGGGAAATGGAAAAAATAAAGAAGTTTGTACAATAAAATTTCTTATTTCACATTCTTGTAAACATTCTGAACAATAACNGAAAACTACTCTATCATGAGAAATATGACAACTGGAAATGGTAGTATATGGGACTCAGTTACATTTTTAGACCTTACAAAATTTCTCATTGAGTCTTTGAATAGAAACGAAACACTCGATAAATATTCCTATTCACTTTCATCGATGATGTACAAATGTTCATTTAATGATATACCATGCTCAGTGAATGATTTCATTCCGTTTACATCATTCGTCTATGGTCTCTGCTATACATTCAATGCAGCATTGCAAAATAATACCGATCGAACTATAGTTTATGCAAACCAATATGGTGGTGATGGGAAACTCTCTATAGGTCTTTACATACATAGTCACCAGTATGTACCTTCTCTAATGGAAGGTAAGCCAATATTTTATTCAACAGATATTATACATTAATTTTTTGTATTAAGGATTTGGTGCTGTGGGTCTACTTCATGATAATACACAACTGCCAAGTATTGAATCAGCTGGTGTTGAATTAGCGTCAGGAAAAAGACATAAGCTGGGATATAGAAAGAAGACAACTTATCTACTATCTTCGCCTTACACAACATGCACTAATAAAATACCTCAAAATATGCAAGCCATGCTTGAATATTACAATAATACTAATTATGGCTATTCAGAAATGTTATGCTATCAACTTTGTGGACAGGTTTATGCGTAAGTGTACTTTAATTCATGATAAAATATCGTAGCTTTTGTCATATTTTCTTTAATCAAGTTCATTGTATCTTAGGTATGAGAAATGCGGTTGTGTCAATCCTGTCCTATGGAACGGTCGTAAACTTTATATCTCAACCATGAATCAAGTGGTTTTTGCACCTCTTTGCGAATTCGACAATTTATGTTACAAAATAAACATTGGTGAACTTTTAACTTCGTCTTCCCTTATGCAGAGTTATTGCTCAGAATGTTTACAAGAATGCGTAATAAAAGAATTTATTGTACAAACTTCTTCACTATCACTACCAGGGAAATGGGAAATGGAAAAAATAAAGAAGTTTGTTGAAAATTCTACGGTTCCATTACCGACAAACTGGTCTAGTATATGGGAAGATGAAATTCGTGAAAATTATCTTACTATCAATGTTGTACGTGAAACAAGTGTTGTCGAAAATAGTACACAATCATCGAGCATGGGTGTAGTTGATGTTTTTTCAAACATTGGCGGTCAAACTGGCCTATGGATTGGCATCAGTTTTCTTTCTATCATGGAGCTAATAGAAATGCTCTATAGATTGATTCGAAATGAGTTTTATATTATTCGAAGAAAGTTGCAAACTAATTAACAATAAATTTTGCCTAATTTCTCATTGACAGAACTAATCAATTAAGCATTTCATTTATTATCATATCTCTGAGATGTTATGATCTCTTGTGACTCAAATTTGCTGACTATCTGTTTTTACTGTTCTATCATCAAATTATATACAAAAACAAATAAGCCGTGCATTCGAAAACGAAATTTCGATTCAAGAGTTGTCTTGAGAATGGAACTGATCCCATTACTTTAATAAGATATGGGTATTAGTGGTTTTGATTAGTAAACAAGGCACCTATTAAAATCAAGTTTTTTTTCGAAGCTTCTTCAGCGCAAAACTTGCCCAAGACATCTCATGGTGTTGGTGGCAGTTTAGTCGCCATTTCTTCTTGGTTTTTCTTAGTTGAAGATTTCTTTGGAGATCGTCTCCTGAAAGAACTTCAGTCTGATTTAGTAGCAGACTGTTTTCACTTTAATAGAAGGATTTTGTAGGCAGTTTTTTAGAACTGAATTATTTGTTCTTCCACTCTATAAAAGTAAGACATAAGAAATGTGTATACAAGACGATCTATCTGTTTATGCCAGACAGTTTGAACTAATTCTGGTTGATTAATACGTATCCAATTTAAACACTTCAATTGTCAACGGATAACCAATTTTAGACACTCGAACGTCTTATTCTCTTTTGTTTGGATGATATGCACTAATGAAAAAGTGTCTACATTCATCCTTCTTAGATGCTTTGGTGGATCTGAGCCCTATACGTTCTACAAATTTGTAGGTTAAAGAGTAAAAAGAATCTTTCGCTGTGCAAATTTTTATAACACAACTCTTAATTTAATTTTTGCACTCATGTTACATTTTCATGTTTAAATAACTCGAAAAAAAAGAAGTTATCGTGTAAATATACAGCATAATTTTGTTTGGAGCTATTTAAACATGAGAATGTAAAATGTGATTAAAAATTAAAATAAGACTTGTTTTCTAAAAATTTTCCTAGTGAAAAAGGGTGTGGGTGTGGGTGTGGATGGACATCGAAAGACGACTGATATCCACACCCCACACCCACACCCTACGGAGTTTTAAGGAAATGATTAATGAAACGTGTTATACTATACGTAAAAATAGGCATAGTTTCTACTTTGTGGTCTTGGAGGTTTTGATGAGCCCACCTTCAATAATTTTAAAAACTATATGGTTTTGTACCCCGCGAAAAGAGCTATCCAGTTGTATATAATTGAAGCTGACTTTCTTGAATTTATATAGAGAAAACTAATCTGAAAGGTTGTCATGTAATTACTATGTATTTGTCATAAGATCATTCGAAATCATAAGGTGGGAAGTCGTCAAATATATTGGAAAGTACTCACCAGTTGAAGCTCTTTCATCCTATATATGATTATGCTGGATATAGTTTGAAAAGTTCAATGGGCCAAATTACCGTCTTATACGCCCCTGTCCTTTACATAACACATTTTGATTCGAATCAACAATATTACGACTTAGAATAATTTGAAAGGATATATGTTTGATTTCGTTTGGCGAATGTTTTGCACCTATAACTTATATAACACTGATAAATGTGCTTGCTGTCTATACAATACCTTGAGAACATAAACAAAAAGAGCTATGTAATCTAGCAACATAATATAGACGTTTGATCAGAAAACTCGCTTCGAATATTTCATCTAGTGAATGCTATAATTCCTTCATAGATGATTGACTCCATATAAAAAATAGATAGTATTGGGCTAAGTTTCATAAATTTCGAGACGCGCTGTTCCGATGCATAACTCCAGCTGATGAGATCCAAAAAGTCACGAAAATTATTCTTCTGACTTTTCACCTTTTCAATACGGTCTTCATGAGAACAGTGATTACTGACCGTATTATGTTTTCTTGTTATATTAGATGTAAGGTTGACCTAAGACGATTGGTATCATGTGAATGTGAGTGGAGGTCGATCATTACTTGGAACGAAAAGCAAAAATATTCGTTGTCTACGACTGTGAAAAGAAAAGAAAAACCTTTTGATGATAGTAGAACAAGGGAAAGGTAGTTGGTCTCCTGCTTTATTTGCTATGACTAACCCCGTTGATAAAGGAAAGCAAGAAGAGGTTATTGAACGAAGAAATGAGCATCCGTATAGTCGAGGATCATTTGAACTTTAATCAATGAAAAACAAAGTGAATGTCTTTGTTTTATATTCAAATCGAAATTTTCCTGACGAGAGCTGTCTGATACCGACGAAAAAAAAAACGAAGAGAGAAATATTCATTTCTTTCAAATGTCATTAATATTATGCTTATTTCTAAAAAGATAATGAATGATACTGTTCTGTGAATATTCGCGTTCTCTTACAAAAAACCGAATCAGGAACAAGATAAGTCCTCTACTGTATTGTCCCACAGAGGAGATGCGTGCGGCGGTACACAATCCTCCATGAGGTACGTGCCTACTCTATGTCATAGGTAGAGACATTTAGAAAGAATGACAGATGAAATGAATTAGCGCTCTCAAAATGTATTCACATACTGAAAATATAGAGAAATGTGTAAGACGTTTAGGTGTGAATGATGGTAACTCATCAAGCTGCATTCATCAATCATATGAATTTCCACTCACATGCAGTTGTTACTCAAGACTTTCACGATTGATATATATATATACAACTAATTCAAATTTTCGTCATCGACCATCAGTAAACCGATGCCTTCGAGTCAAACTCATAAAAGTTTGAATGAATTTACTCGTCGAGAAGATCAAAAGTTCTACACAGGGCAGTAATGTAACAATATAAATTATATTGTATATCTTTGTCGCACGCTATTTGTCATCCACATTTGAACTTAAATATTCAACACTAATTAGTTCGTAGAAAGAAGAACTCGGCAAGAAGCTCAATGCCTGCTATTTAAATCGACTGACAGAGAGATTACTTGATTCAATATACATAAATCCGCTCCACTTCGGTTTTAGATGACAAGATAGACAAACAGATATCTCATCTTCCATCTACTCGAACCCAAAAAATTTCCCGTGGTGTTCAGAAACTTGAATGACACAATAAGAGGCCGTTGTGAAGAAGACTGGTTTTTGTGTTCGATACTGGGTGTCCCTTAATATCTGGAAATAAATTGTGAATGGTATTCGACATGCTTATTTTATTATGATCTGTGATTTCTAAAAGTTGCAATTCTGTAGTTAAAACAAACGTCAAAAAGCATAAACAAGATTTGAAGTTCATGATTTTTCGTACTGTATTCTGTATAAAAAATTATGCCGTAGGTATGTTTGCAATAAATTACATGTTAAGATCTGAATGGTTATGAGTTATTCAATCAGATGAGTTATTCGTAAAGATTCTTGAAAACGATACTGACGAGATTTTCTTTCTAGTTCAGATTTTTAATAAAACTAAACGATAGACAAACTCTTCCTTTTAGATTTACGCAAGATCCAATTGTTACTACTGTGATTCGATAGTTATAAGATTTTTTTTTCAGAGAACCTCGATTCAAGCTAATCGATCTGCAACTTCACGGAAAAATAATTAGGCAAAGCAATTCATAATACTGAGTCGCATGTTCATGTTTGCCTTTAGGTATGTAAGGATCTTGCAGTGTCATCCCAATATTTCTGGAATTCCACAACAACCTCTCTATAACAAAAGAGTTGATTCAAACTTTCTGTCTTGTATGATGAAAACCGCACCTCTCTAACTCTCTTTATTCTTAAGTTATTGCAAAAATCCTCACGGTCTACCTCTTTTATACAGAGTACAATATGAAAAGCTAAGCAATTTAATCTTATTTATGAATTTTGACATTAATTTTAACTACAGAACTCAAACATTTAGAAATCAAGGATCATAATTACTTCAGTCTTCTATTTTAACAAAAAGTATGCCTAATATCATTAACAATGTATCTCCAGTTTTTATGAGACATACTTATTAAAATCACTCCAGCAAACAATTCCGAACTGTTTTTATGAAATTCAGCATCGTGTACTACAACAGATCTTGTATCTAGCGCAAGCCGTCACATGCAGATCGTCACTCTCTAATTGGAATAGTAATACGAAATTTGGAATAAGTTCTCAAGAAAATCTGGTATGCCTGGAATCGATTTTGAGAAAGTCAATGTGCAGTTACCCTAGAGTTTCTAGAAGAGACCTTGGTAGTTGTAGATTATTTCTGAATGGCTTTTTATTTAATTAATTAAAAAATACTATTTGACAGAGCCCGCAGAAATGTAATTTCAACGGCTGTGTTAGTGTTGGGAAAAGTTCTCAAGTAAGTTTTGGTGAAGGGATAATCGAAGCAAATTCTAGCATAATCTATAGACTATGAACGCCTTTAAAGCGAGATCTGATTATCTTACATTTAATCGATGGCATTGAATATTATTATAAAAACTTAGTGTTTAGATTCTTTTCATGTGCCGATGACGACGCGAATGGCGCACAATTATGAAACATCCATTCAATTTTTCTCCAATATGTACATGAAAGCAAATTGGGTTTTAGTAGAGAGAGAGAGAAAAGAAGAACAATTCTCTTTGCTCTGTTCTTCGCGATTTTTGTTATTTCGATTTTTTTAACCGTATTTAATGACATTCTTTAGTTTTTACTATTGATGGTACCAAATTTATTTGTCCTTGGCAAGAAAGACTAGAAATAATCCATCTCGAGCGATATGAAGGTCATATAAAATTGTCCAATAATGTGTTCGGCGTCTTTTGCAACTGCATACTCCAAATAATGATCACTTACAATTTTATTTCGTTTTCATTACTTTATGATTCATGGTTGTATTGCTTCGTACATATATACGACTAAATAAGACTCTTTATATTCAGGATACACAATCTTATAAATGTCACATACAATATTGGTTCTGACATATCCTAATTATACATTCTATTATTCTATACCCAAATTATTTTGGAACTAATGGTCTATAAACTATATACTCAACAATTTTTTGTGAAACAAAATTGCTTAGTTTTTGAGTATAAGTGAAGTTGAACTGCGAGTGTGACTGTGGATGTGAAAAGCTGAGAATACCAAGGGTGTGGGTGTGTGCGAACAGTAGAACAACACCTGTACACCCACGCCCATTCTGTCGAATTCGTATAACATCAATTTTCTCTTCACAAAGTATATATTTCAATACAGTAGACTGTTTGATATTGACTAACTCTTTCATAGAATATAAGATGTTTGAAAAATATCATTAATGTACGACGAATATCAATGTTTATTAAAGAGAAAAAGAAGCGATTTATATAAGCAGATTCATTCATTAGTATTTTCTTATTAATGAGGTGTAACACGACATCTATTAAGAATTTTATACGTAAATGTCACGAACAAAGGAACAAGAAAGCGTAAAGCAAGTGAAAGTGAACCAAAAACGCTCAAAAATGTTGTTAATACATTTAATGGATCAAATCTATTAAAGTATGTAAATGAACATTGCCGAGAAGCACATAATTCAAAGAATAGTTCATAAGAAATATTAACATTCCAAGAATCAATGAATACTCTATTAACGATTGTTTCAATTGTGTCATTCATGGCAAAGCTTGATGTACCGTAGTTAATTGGTAAAAATTAATTTGGTGGAGTATCATATTGCCAACTATGCCAACCATTACCTAGAGGCATAGCATCGAGTAATGCTTGTATACATGCAGATGAGTAGAAACATTCTAAAGATGAAAGAAGAAGTGATTCTAGAATTGTACAACCAAATTGAAGTCCATCAATAACATGAAGAATTGTTAAATTGCTATAGAATAATGCAGCTGGTGAAGTACATTGCCGTTAAGTAGCACATGAACATGTCGAATTAACATACATAACTGGTCGACTTTCCAAATTAGTCATATTACTTTGATTCTCACTCGAAGTAAAATACCAATTGGTTGAAAAGACATTTATCAAACTGTTGCCTTGACTCGTGATTTGAATCAATGTCAAAGCTTGCATAAACGTACTAGGCATTGTTGTTTGTAGATGTTGCATTGTAACATTCATTTGTCTATCGAATTCATCTTTTAATATGATTTTATTGTTGACTGAAATTGAAGATAGAAAACTCTCTGGAATATTACTCACAGTTGCAATGGCAACTGAACAGAACGTTTTAAGTGCACGAAAATAGGCTGCAGCCCATTGACGAAAATCATAATTAGGAATCCAGCCAGGTACTTCATTGTATGTCACAAGATATATCATCCATTTTACAGAAATAAAATCACTTGAACAGACTGGATGAAAAGATTTTATCTCAATTGTAGAGAAAAAAGAGCTGGAGGGAATTGAAATTTGCNATGCTGCATCTAATGCCATATTTTATTTTTTTGATACAACCTATTAAGTGATTCAAAACTGGAATGCAAAGCGTGGCCATTTAATCGACCTCACATATTAGTGAAGTTGTATACAAAAACAGTTCTTATCGAAATTTTATTATTATGAGATTAGTTGAAGAGTGATCAAATAGCACAGAAAAATAGAGCGTCGTTTTCTCTATCACTACATAAAAAAAGAACATTTAATCAAGCTCTCTATTATAGACATAAGATAATGACGTCACCACTTTTGGTATGCCCTAAGTAATTTCTTTTTTTCTGTCTTATAGAAAAAATTATGTATTTGTTTTTAGAAAAAAAGGGTGGAAATTTTGATAAGTTTCGAAGTTTCCGATAATTTTTGGGGAAGGTTTTTTTTTATTATATGAGTAAGTGTGCACATTCATATCGCATACTTAGAAAAATTTCGGAAAATACCATACTTTCCGAGAAATTTCCCAAAATTCCTAGTAATTTCTCAAGTTTCCACTAATCCTCGGGTACGGTCTTCTTTTAACTGTAGAAATAATTGTATATGCTAATATAATATATAGCAGACAATTTCAAAAAATGAACGAAATTTTCTGGAAAGTGATGTATTTTGTAAGGGTTTCTTTCTATTGTCTGAATGGTAATTACAGTAATTTCCCAGTTTTCCAATTTGTATGATATTCTTTTTGGGAACAATTTCTGAAATTGGGTATTTTATGAGAGAAATTTATTTTCTTGAAATTTAAACGCTGCTGTCTGGACTCAACTGAATGAATCTAGGATTATTTCTAGCAAGACTTCAATATTCTTATGCAAACAGTTACAAATAATTTTGTCTTTGATATTGTGTCTATGGAAACTGACCCACAGATGTCAACGAGGAAAAATAGTATTTCTATGTATTTCTGAACTGCACAAATACTTAGAAATACGCCGTTCCCCCCTTGCCTATAGTACGTAAATGAACAGCTTAGAGAGAACAAAAGTATCGATTTTGTGTAATTTTCTATGGATGGATCCAGACGGATCCCAGAACAACAATGCAGCTCTACAGTGTGAGAACATCAACGAAGGGTTAAAGTATGCAATCATTTTGATAAAATCAGATTTGTTGTTGTATACTAAAAGGTATTTATTTATTTATTTATGAGAGAAAAAATAAAATGAAATAAAATTGCACTTCTAAGAATCTGAGAGATTTACTTGAGATCTTTTGACCAGAAAATCTAAAACAAAGAAAGAATAAATGTACTGGTTGCTAAGATTTTTCACGAATAATGACTTTTGTATTGCAGAAGTATAAGCAAGTATCATATCCATCTAAGAGACATTTATCAGAAATTAGACTATTAAATATAAGATCTAATCATTTCTTGTGTCTCTATATATTAAATAAAAATGAAATAGTACGCATAAAACTCTTTTCGAAAGTGACATAATCCATGGAGTAAAATAATGAAACAAATTCATTTAAATGGTTATTTTCAGAATTTTCATCAAAAAACAAAAATTCATGAACTTGATGATTCCGAAAAAATGAAAAATCATTTGACTACCTCAGCACTATTTGTCACTCTATGATTTTAATTATTGGAAAAAATCGAAATTATTACATGTGTTTCATTATTTTTACATGTAAAACATTACATTTCTTGGAAACGTCCAAAAGAAGAAAAAGGCAACTAACCAATTAAATAATTTTTATTTCAAATATCTGTGTTTTGGGACAAATAGTTTGAGTAATGAAAACAAAAAGCCGTTAATGAAGATATCAGGAACTTTCTAGCAGATTTGGATAACACATGATGACGAAATCTTCTTTATGCATTTTGATGTATGCCAGTTTTTCGATCAACTTGTTAGAAATAACTGATATGATTTAAACAGACAATTGAGTTAAGGCAAAGTCAGCAAAGATAATGTTAATGGGCAAACATTGATGTACGACGTCAATGTTTACTGAAAGACATTTATGTATTATGAATTTCTCGACATAGATCACTGTGTCTGTGTTTGATAGCACAAATAAAACCCACTTCTAAAAAACCTTTATCACTGTCAGACATTCTGGTTTCTTGGACGAATTCATTTTTATATAAAATAACTTCACCTGCTCATTGAAATCATTTCATTCACTATCAGCTATTGCAACTTGAAGAAGAGCAATATTATTTTTGATCTCTTCTGTGTGCATACGAGTTTTATGGACTGATTTAGCCATAATACCTAAAACGGATGTCCTAAAGTAAAATCTTCGAAATCGAAATAAATTACCTAAGACACTTTCAAATGTAAAGGTTGAGTAATTTTCAAGTGATCCGAAGTTAGCGATAGTTTCAAACACGTGTACGAAACTATCGACCATTTGTGCATAATGACGAACCGTGTAATTTGAATGGTATAGTCCTACAAAGTTATCCAATAAATATTTCATTTGAGCTACGTACAGTTGTTTAGACATCTACATTTATTATGATGCATAGCAATCGAGAATAATTCTAAATTTGTGAAAATAGTTATACATATTCAAATGGGCAAAAAAGAAACAAGAAAATATGCTCGTTAACAATATTTTCAAAAAGGTTCATCAAACAGACAGATATGAATTTAATGAAGAGGGGTGTTGACGTGGGATAGAATTTATGAGCTTCAATTCAATGAATATCAATAGAAGCCAATGGAAAAGTATTACCTCTCGGTCAATTCAGACTTCTCTAATCATAGAAGGTAAAGATAAGAAACTACCCATAATCGAAATGATTCATGCTCGTTGATTATCTATATGATGAGAAGCTTGATTCAGAAAATATTTTCAACTAGAGGCAGTTTCTTGTTTAGGTTCAATTCAACATCTACCTCAAAATATCGTATGATAGATTATTATTTTGCCCTTCTCTTAATTTCTTTCTTGTTTTTCAGATTTTTTTGTACACAGTAAACTAGTGCATAAATATAAGACAATAAAAAAAAAACTTTGTCAACAATTACATTACAGTATAGATCCTGTAAGTAGACATGTGATAAAATCAAAAAAGAAATCATCAGAATATTCATTTGTAGAATTTCACTCGCAATCTTCACTATCGATAACTTCAAATGAATTTCCACAAAGTTTCTGACAACACGATTGCGGGTTAGTATGCATCATTAACACTGATTAGAATGGAGAAAGTAAATAGATAATATCATAGAATCAACTATCGGAGATAATGTCTTGCGGAACCATCAGTTTAGAATATTTCTATTTCATAATCTTGATCAATAGCATCAGTTGATAGGTTTAGTTCGAACAAGAAACAGTAACTTATCAATTTAAAACAGATTAGCAAAAGAAAAGGACGAAATATTACGATAAAATACACGTTTCAATATAAACCGAAGTGCAGTTCAGATTGTTGTTGGATTTTGGCACAGTTCTTCTGCTCGAAGTCATGTATTAGTAACCGTGTTTACTTGTAGATGATACAAGAATATAATCGTAAACAGTTAAAATTCTTTCATCCTTTCAGAACAATCTTCGATAAACACAAAATAGACATATCGATCAATGTTGAAAAACAGTTATCCCTTGTTCGAAAAGACAACATTGTTCATTGTATTATTTTTTTAATCTGAATTATTCGTTATTATTCACGTTTCTATATAAATGATGTTTGTTTAGTACGTACATTGACCCGCTCGCTCTTCTCTGAAAGATCGAAACTAAAGAATTATTCTAAAACTTATCACTGGTATTCGTTTTCGGTGATACTAATTGCCTAAAACTGGCATTTATCCTGTAACAGAAAGATTCATCCAGAAAAGTCACAAAACTTCTGATAGAAACTGAATTAGTCTAGAAACTTCAAATTTAGAAGAATCGCTTTTATTTTATTAATTATCACTTGCACCTGAAATCATTTTTTCAAATACAGAAAACGCATTTCTTTGGTTCTTTCACATCATTGTCATCTGCGTAGGTCAGATCGAGGCATTCGATATGCTTGTCTATTTTAATTTCACTATTCGCTGGTTTCTCTTGCTTATTCAAGTAAACTTTAACAGGCGATAGCTTATGAAGTATATAGTACACACCACTGCTAATAATAATACCCAAGAAAAAGCTCAAATGATACATTTTGGTCACAGTTGATGGAACATGTGCACCGACTGCACCAGCAAAACCAACAACATTAATCAATATTCCAGCAATATAAGCAATGTATGCCCGCCAATTAATACCAAACGTATAGTAGTACAATCCTTCTGAAGAAGCTGAATAGAGTTTGTTCATATCCAAATGTTCACGTCGAACAAAATAATAATCGGCGAACATTACACCAGCACTTGCACTAACAAATGTTGAATAAGCTGACAAGTAGAAGATAAATGATGACGAACTCGAAAGTAATTGCCATGGACAGATACAAAGGCCAACAATAGAACAAATATAACCAGATCGTCTCATGTTTAAATATTTCGGACAAATAGCTGTTAAGTCACATCCGACAGAAATACTGTTAGCAGCAATGTTTACACCTAATTGTGCTAGACGGAATGAAAGCGAAATAGAAAATACACCGGCACGTGTAGCTGATGATGGCGTATTGTCGAGAAATATATTCAATAGTTCTAATGAATTCCATATTTCTTTACCATAGATAACTTTCGATGACGATCCAACGATAAGACCAATAAAACTAGTTATAGAAAATCCTAAGGGAATGGTAATCATTTGTGGCCAAAATATAATTGATGGTCGAGTGGCAAACCGAGTATAATCAGAATTATTGACAATCATTGAGACAAAACTAGAAATACAACTCATGATTGCTGAAATCCATGCCCATCCACGAACACTACTCGCTGTTGTAGGCAAAGGTGTTGACTGATAAAGAACTTGTCCAATGCCTTTAGCTTTTACAACAACTCATGCAAAGAACAGTAGACCGGCGATTGGAACAACAATTGATTTTGCTGTAAATAAATGACGCATCTTTTGTGCTGGAAACCATATGGCAATATTTGATAGTGACCAAAAGATCATAAATCCAATAAAGTCACGTGTATTAGTACCTGATGATGTGGAAAGTGTATTTTGTAAATATTGATACGATGGTACGACTGCACGAATACAAATGACGACACATTGTCCACCTATCCATGCCTGCACTCCATACCAAACGCATTACATTATACCTCGATTTAAAACAGACCATAGACTACCAAAAATGCCGAATGATGCACGTCCAATAACTGGAAATGAAATATGATAAACAGCACCAATTTTTTCCTGAAATACAGAGAAATATAGCAATAATTGTATAACCAATCCAAGCACAGAGCCATGCTTCCCACCAAGACAAATCTCCGATTATGGCACTTATAATCATCCATGCACCAATATTTATAGAATCTGACAGCCAGAATGCAACGTAATTTCAGGTGGCCCAGAGACGTCGGTCAGATTCAACAACTTTCAAATCTTCATTTTGTAACATCGCTTCGATTCCAGTTCGATATTGAACTGTAGAATCTGCATAAATCCATACAGGTTTACCCATATTTAGATTGATAGTAGAACGACCTAAAAAAAGAGAAGAATCAACAGATTGTTGAGCTTTGTGCAAAAAGTCTGTTTTCATCTGTACGAACATTTTCGTTTCTACAACAGTACTACTCTATGATTTTAAAAACAGTGTGAACTACTCGAGATAATTAACAGGAGAACTAAAAATTTGCAAAACATGAAAATTTTTAACATAGAATTTTCTACGCTGATTCGACTCTAGGCTGAAAGCTAAGAATCAAGAAAAAACATTTAGTTTCACAGACAGGCCTCTGACCGACTGATAGAATTTTTTCTCAGAAACAAAAGCTGACAATCTTTTTCGCTACATCTCGGCATCAGAGAATTCTAAGAAATCGTTAAACAACGCATTTTGTTGAGTATCGAGTGAGCTATTGAATAATGGGTTGAAAAGCATTTTTGGACGAAATTGGAATTCACTCGATTTTCTAAAAGTCTACCTTCTTCGAGAATTCTATTTCAACATTTCTCGTTCAGATGCAATTTTTCTTGAGTAATTTAGATAGAAGATGATCTGCTTTTTCCTTGAAGGCCGAATTCAAGGTACGCTGACGTAATAAAATGAACAGAACTTTTTTCTTAAAAAAAAGATAGAGGTCTACTGTTTTTATTGTTCGAATCTACATGAAAAACTGCATCTAGAAATATGTATCTCGTCACTGATACCAAAGATTGATGTAATGGCAGTGTTCAGTCTAAAAATGTATTTTATCTTTAGAAGAGTTTATTGAGATGTATTGTGATTAAATCGTTTAAAGTTTATACTTTTTTTCACTAGTTTTAAATAATTCCGAGGGTGAAACTTTCCTTGTATTGATATTTATATTTCTTTCCCTCTCGTTTTTATATTTCAATTTAAGAAGGAAGTGATATAAAGGGTGAAAGTATCAATTACCATACAAAGAAGAGAAAAGGTTGATTTATATAAGCGATTTGCCATTTCAGTGTACAAAATTCATTCATCATTGACCTATGAAAAAGAATGATACGTAGAGAGGAAGTGCAAATGGATGTTATTGTCAACAGTCTCTTTTTCTTTTCTGCAATAAATATTATCCTATGAGAAAAATCTGGTTGTTACGCTATATGCATCGAATTATTGAGGAAAAGATCTGGATTGAAAGCACTTTACAAAAAACACATCCTTTTATACATAAGAAAGTGTATTTGCATTATTAAATATATTGTTTCTTAAAGATTAAAAAGATAATGATAACTGTCAGTTGTCTGTTTGGATCACAAACAAATTGTATTTTCTGGTTTCCTTGGACTTTAATAGACAATGTACAAATGTTGGGAATGTGCGCAAAATTCTCTATAAGTCACGGCTCTTGATATTCCTGAAGCCTTCAAGTTCTTTCGTTCAGCATGAGCGCTAATCTTACAAGGAGAGGTTGTAGTTATGGCTCTGAAGCGCTTGCAAAAGGTCAGAAATAATGAACGAATGTTAGTTTTACACTAATGAGATTGATTTATAAACTACAATAAAAACGAAGAATATGCCCGATTTAACCACGGCAATGACAGAATTTCTTGCTGGCGATATCAGATATTCTCACTTGCGTCCATCCTATCATCTATGTTAATATCAACAACAGATATGCAAAGAATAGTGCAACTATTCTTCTATTAGCGAAAATTTGCCTAGGTACGACGAGTTAGACGATTTTTTATTGTTGTCTATCAAGCTTTGGAGTTACAGAATCAGTTACACAGTTTGAGGTTCTCGATGCAACTCTCATTACCAAAATGATCCCGGAGACGTCAAATTGATTTTGAAAGAACTGTTAGAGCAAAAATGAGTCTTTTTTAACCAAACAGCTAAACGGTAAATGGTTTGATGTCAGAGACCAAAACGGATAAGAAAATCTCGATTTGATTCGATTCAGTTCATGCTGGAAAAAGGAGAATTCCTTCATTGTCATGAGTGAAAAGTATCTACACCCAACATAAGTTTACTTTAGTTTTCGTATGTTTCCACGCTAAATCAATCGATTGAGAGAAATTCAGAAGCTTCAGAAAGGAAGTGCAGCACATTTTAGAACTTGAGTTTTATGAAAAGAAACGCTTTTCTTATCGATCAATGAAGTCAATAGTTTCTGGATTTGTATAAATAACGCTGCCATATATGTTGTCTGCTTGGAGAAAGGCGCACGTAAAGGTAGAATGAAAAATGGATTTCGCTCGAATTTTGGTTCAGTTTATTTCATGGATAAAATCTAGCTCAAGTCAGACTGCAACCACACTCACGACCACACTTTCAATTCATAAAATACACTGTGACAATGAAGTTTCATAAATAGATGAAAGGTAAGATGATCTTAAATTTTAATTTAGAATTCTTATTGTTAGTACTGTGTTTGGTTACAGACGACTAATTTTGGACAAATAAGGTGAAGATTTTTTTGTAACTGAGTTTTGACGGATACAAAAATATGTTCCTGTATATAGAACTTCACCGTAGACATCGATCCAAGATAAACATTCGCATGTTATACAGGCTATCAGTAAATAATTCTAACGATCGCCATTTAAGTCAAACAAATGGTAATAGTCGATTGCCATAAGATTATGACGTGCAAAGGAGTTATATTTCCTATCCGAAAATACATGAACTATAAATTTGTCGGATTTATGGATAGCAATTCATAGAATCAACAAGAATTTAAAATACTTCGTGATACTTCCTCATTCTCCTGCAAACTTCGCATACAGAATTATATTTTAATAAATCTTTCTCGGAAGAATTGCAAAAAAACGAGGCAAGAAAATGAATCGATCTACTTAATGTATATGGGCTCTACATCGGCTTCGATAAAATTTTAATATTAATTTATAATTGTGGAAGGTAAACGAAATAAGACTAGAAGGAAAACGATATTGATTCAGAGAGAAACTGACGCAAACCAAACGGACTGGTATAATGTAATGTGTTGATTCTTCCCTTTTTTTACTTTACTAAATATGGTAATGCATATTTTGTGTATCACAGAGCATATAAAGAGGAAAAAACTCAAAACAAATACAGAATGTCGATAGATTTGACTCACTAGGGAACATTCCCAATTATCCGATCGATTTTTCTCTTCAAACTGTTGCCGTTCAATTTCTCTCATTAAGTAGTGAGAAAGTCGACTATTGTTCGGTTTTTCAGTTTTCTCTCATCGAGTTATGCGTGTTTTAATCGATTTTTTTGGGACGATGACAATAGGATCTCTGAGGGTGTGGTTGTGAGGTGTAGTTGGATGTGGGTGTGGGTATGAGTAAAAATTTTTGTATACCCACATCTTTATTGATCCATTTCTTTATGTTTTAATATTCAAAGCAAAATTCCTCGATAGTTATATTCAGGAAGACGAAAATTCAAAGAAATTCAATCATCTAAAAAATAAAATCCATTATCGAAGCTTTTGCTGTCTCGATCACATCAGAACTGATTAAAAAAGAAAAAAATTGAAAAGTTAGTAGTTCTAGTGAAACATTAGATAAATCGAATTTCAACAATTTCTGGATTGATGTTATTTAAACAGTGAAATTGTTGTTTTCTGCTATGAGATAGTGCATGATTTTGAGTTATTGACCGAAGGATAACTTGATGAATAAGGTATGATTTCCAACTCAACATTTCTAGTTAATGGCATGTACGACCGTGATCTTTTTGGATAAGAATGGCTGCACATGGATTGATGCAGACAAGAATATATAGACTTTGTCCAAGATCAAAGATAGATAAACATTCCCAGCAGAATTCAGTTCCACATCTTTTACAGGTCATATGATCACAATCTTCAATCTTCTCAATTTTGGCTCTGAAACCCGGCATATTTTTGTATGGTGATCCATGTATTGTTTTGTTCTTCGATCGTTTATTCCCATGCGGTGATCATAATCTTGGCTAGTAATTCCATCAAGCCACGGTCTTTGATGGAAAATGTATGTTGATTTTTTTACAGTGAATACATAGCATTTTTGGATTTGGAAAGAAATGATTTTGTCCTGAACCACATCCATGGGCACACCAAACAAAGTCAGGTTCCCTTTCCAAAGTTTTTATAGTTAGATTATATTCATATTTTTCTGCTAGTTAAAGCAGATTTTTCATCGATAGTAAGGGCTCGAAGCCTTTTATCCGCATCAAACGTTGCTTAACAACCCAATTCAGAATATCGCACTGAGCTCATGATAGAACTTTCGAGTGACGTTGCAATATGTTGACGAACACATGAATTACAGACATGACGTCGATTGTGACGGCAATCTTTGCTATACTTATGATGAAATTCATGTCTTACTTTTTCGTCAAGACACACAATACACTTGCGCATCGAACTGAAATATGAAAGAAGGACAATAGAAATGTAGTCAATTTCGCTACAAAAATTAATTGAGTATCTTAACACGGTTGAACTATTCTCAAAGGTGCCCAGTGATCAATTATTGATTCTTCAAATTTTCGTTTTCCTACGTCTATATCAATTTAGATCATTTGAGTACTGTTTACGCAAAAGGCATATAAAAATTAAACAGCTGTCATCATATACTTCATATAGCAGTGCTTCTAGCTTACAAATATCTTCAAAAATATCAGTCCTAAGTTCTTTTTCTCGACTAGAACATCAGAACTCATAAGTTTCCTTTGAGAATTTTTTTCAGTTAAATTGCTTTCCTACTAACTTAATTATCAAATATCTTTAAAAAAATCTTTTTTTCATGAATACCAGAACGAGTTATATACAAATTTCTGATCAAAACGTTCTTGAACGTTTATTAACTGTCTCTACTATGTGAATAATGTATGGAAGTTATCTTTCAATTACAAACCGCAATCAATAATATTCGATTGTATAGCACAATATTGATAAAGAACTTTCAAGTTTTTGATGTTTTTTTCTTGTTGAATGGTTCTCACGCTCAAGATAATCGATATAACTTTCAGAAAACGAAATGTGTTTTAATGTTTCTTTCATTTTGTGTATTAAGTATATTGTGCAATGCTGTTTTCTACAATAACAATGAACAGTCAGTGGAATAAATGGACAGCAACAGTGTGTTAGA